CAATTCACAGTGATTGTAACAACCAGTCACTGCAACCATCCACTGCATCCAGTCTCTGCATCCAGCCACTGCAACCCGCCACTGCAACCAGCCACTGCAACCAGCCACTGCAACCAGTCACTGCAACCAGCCACTGCAACCAGCCACTGCAACCAGCCACTGCAACCAGCCACTGCAACCAGCCACTGCAACCAGCCACTGCACTGCAACCAGCCATCATGTATGCACCACCCAAGACACAAAGTCACATTATTTATTGAGATAAAATCATAAAGTCAAATTATTGGATAACCATTTTGAAAAGTTTACTTCTGGTAAAGAGAGAGAGAGAGAGAGAGAGAGAGAGAGAGAGAGAGAGAGAGAGAGAGAGAGAGAGGGGACAATGATGGGCGTGTGAGCACCTTTAAGCAAGTCTAACGTATATAGGTATATGAAGCAATGTAGCTTGGCTATCTTAAGTTCGCCTGTAAGTGGGAGACCGTCAGATGAACAACAAATGGCCTTAGAATAACAACTGACAAAACGGCTGGCTTACTAGACAACTAGGCGAGAAGACTCGGTGCTTATTATGAAGTGACGCCACACAGAACTACTTTCTACGGGACACACACACGCTTTTAATTAGAAGATAAACCTCTTTTGTCTGAAACCCATTTTTAACCATAACAGTTAATATACAGAGCTTTTTGTCTAATTATCATTAATGTACCAGTACCGGTACTATCAGTTATAAAAATGTTGATAATCTAAACTGACAAATGTGTATGATGCCCTCCTAATCTGAGAACCCCTGAATACAAAGAGTGAGATAACATAAATGAATTGGCAGTTTAACGTCCACTGGATACGCCCACGCGTATAGTCCACCTGGTGGTGTCTCTGTCAAGATAGTGCAAGCAGTTAACGTTGATAAAAATCTGATAACTGTCGTTCAAATATCTGTTTCATAGTTCCAATCACGTAGAAACCTTATTAAAGAATAATAAAAAAACCGGTTGTTAATCACAATTGCTAAACATTAATTAAAAACTGTCGGACCCAATGCTATAGTTACTTGATATTTTTCTTCATGTCATTAATGAATTTTCCCAATGTCAGTGACACGTGGTTTAATACTGTCCAAGTTTTGTGAAAGTGGATTAAAATTAAATACGCAGTTTGTTTACTACAGAGATAAACTACTGTACAGTTTGCTGATGGCCCCCGATTAAATATATGACTCAACTTTCTTGATTTCATTAAATGAGGATCATGCCACAACAGGTGCGAAGCAAACCCTATTTTGAATATCTTGGGATTTCAAGACAGCATAGCTTTATTTGGTTGCTTGAATTAAAATAACCAAAATATAAAAGTGACCAATATTTTTTTTCCGGGACAAGACTATTCATTTAAATCGGATAGGTTATCTTCATCATCTTCGGGGGAAAGCTTATTTCTATTAGATATCAGATTTTATTTTTATTATATTTAGCGATTTCTCGGGATGTAACTGGAATAGTAATTTTATGCTACATGTAGCTAAGTTACTTCTCTGAATTAAAATATTTTAAACCTTATCTAGAAACAGTGGCGTAGCGAGGGGGGGGGGTGCGGACCGCACCGGGTGACACATTTTTAGGGGTGAAACCCTATTGAAAAATTGCATATTTACAGAGCACACACTGCTCGGTCTAACCGAGATTCATAAAAGGATAACCGCTCACACCAACATTTGTTCACAAATGTAACCAATCCAAATGCAGGCTTCATTAAAAGTTGTAGCTTGATGGGTCAGAAATGAGATGACCCTGCCCTATGTTTAGGTCAGAAAAACACGGTCATTACTCCATGCCGATTGAAGTGTTCGGCAACTTCCGTAAGTGACAGGAGGCTATATTTATCTAAATTCTGAGAAATAGGGCTTTTCATTTATGCCAAATACGGTGTGGTCGGGCGATGCTAAGCATAAGAATCGGTAAAAATTAAAAATGAATTTTGACCCACTCATAGGGTTAAAAAATTATATTATTTTACAAATTGTCAATCTTTCAATGATCAATTCTTAATTATTTAAAATAAGAAAAGTTTTTCGAAGACATATATAATATATATCGAACCCCAGATATTTCTCAAAAATTAATATTTTCCCCGATTCTTCACTAGTATCACCCCTTAACATTTGAGCACGCTTGTCATATTTCGACAGCTGGGTTTTACCTGCTACCTTTCTGTGTTGTATTTACGACAGTGCTCTGACTGTTGTTATGAACTGTCGTCAGTAATTATTTTGTTTGATGTCTTGTTTATGACACAATTACAGCATTTTTATTGCCTAAGATTATTATATCAAGTGCACAAATGTAAACGGCAAAGATGCTGTCAGCAGTGAAAATATTTAAAAAAACAGAACTGACGGCTAATAATATTGATTCAAACCAAGATACTGTAAGTATAATGGTTAATGGAAAAAAAAACTAGCACATTTGATAAGTTCTTCTCTCTGGAATGTACCAGTTCTTGATAATTTTCGGTCTAAAATCATTAAAATAGGGAGTACCTCGTTTCAGACAAAAGGGACGGACCATTCAGCGTAGTGACAAGGCAAAATGCGAAATCTAAAATAGGCGATCGCCAACTAACAAAACTAAGGCTCTACGACAGCGGTTCTCAACGTGTGGGTCGCGACCCCTTTGGGTACCCTTTTGGGGACCCTTGGGGACTATGTTAAAGGGTCGCGGCACTGGAAAGGTTGGGAACCACTGCTCCACGGGATGACTCAAAATGGCTAGAATATGCTGCGGTTGAGTATGGTTTATGCACTCGTCAGTCAGAAATTGTATTGTTTTTGCTGCAGATTGTTTGCTGTTAATGTTACAGAAAGAACATCCAAATTGGTTACTGGCTTTGATAAGTGGTGGAAACTGAGCCCAAAATTACAAAATCAAGAGGCATCGGAAGAGTACCTATGTTGCCCTGAAAAGTGGAAAGCATTAGCAGCAGGACTTAGGATACACAAAAAATTGATGCTGAACTCATTGATGTGATGAATAGGGAAAAGAAAAAGTTTAGGGATATCTTGCACAGGTTGCTGGATATCACATTGTTTCATGCAAAGCAAAATCTGGCATTTCTTGGCCACAACGAAGATGAATCTTCACTGAAACTTTCTTGAAATGGTTGAGATGCTATCTAAATATGACCCAGTGCATAAAGAGCATCATATAAGACTAAAGACGAGTACATGAACAGAAAAAAACATCTGCATCTTACTTGTCGCCAGAAACCCAAAATGGATTTATAAATGTCCTCGCAAATCATGTGAAGGATATTCTTATCATGGATATAAAGACTGAGGGGTATTTTGGAATTTATGTTCAAAAGTACTCCTAATATATCAAACAGTGATCGGATTTCTGAAGTGATCAGATATTTGAACATTTTCCCATTAGAGGGGAAAAAAGCTGATAACCTCAGTACTCATACTGACATTCTACAGAACTACATCCACTCATCGGTGGAATGTTTTAATTGAACAAACTGGAATTTCACTGAAAAGACTGTCAAGAACGCGTTGGAGTGCTCATCATGCTGCTTTGAAAACAGTGGAAAGATGAGTTTGATGAATGTGGCGGTGATTGAAACTCTGTGTAGTCCTCTTGAAAATTTGGATACCGGTACAAGAGATAGAGTACAAGGTATTTTACATGCTGTCTGTGATTTAACGTTTATCTGCTACGTTTAGCTTTGGGCTGATATACTTGAGGAAGTTAATCTTACACAGGAGTATCTGCAGACTAAAGGCTTTACTTTTGACAAAGTGGTGACAAACGTAGAGGTCTTAAGATTGTTTCTGCACCAGAAGCGCCGTCACTTGGTGGAACATGCTATTGAAAAGGCACTTTTAAAATCAGACCAATGTGGAATTTCGGTAGAGAGAAGATTATGGTTTAAGAATAGAATGGCAGGAGAACAATTAATAGATGCTGGACGCTTTCTGCGAGAAGAAAACAGTAGGGAGATGCTGGAGTGTATAGATCGCTTTCATTGTAAACTCCAGATCAGATTATCAGTGAGCAAAGAACTAACAGATATGTTTGGGGCTGTTCAACCCAAGAGTCCATTATCAGCAAGTGAAGAAGAGTTATTGGTCCCCGTTCCAAAAATTAACTTCTTTCTATGATGAGTTTTCAGAAGATGAACTTTTAAAAGAAATAACAAGGCTTAGAAAACATCTAAAGGCAGCTGATATTGAATTTTCACGAATTTCATGGACTGGTCAGTATTTGATGTTTTGAAATTCATAGCTGAATAAGAATTCCTAGAATCTCTTCCAATACTTCACTAAGCCTTAAATTTTTTATTACGATATGTGTGTATGTGGCTTCATGTCAGCGGAGCTTTTCAAAACTAAGGCTGATCAAGAAATATTTATGATCCACCATAGGACAGCCTAGGCTTTCTGATGTGGCTCTGCTATCAATTGAAAGTGATATGGTGAATGACAGTGATTTTGATCAAATGATTGACAGGTTTGCAGCTTTGAAGACAAAGAAAAGGAACATTTTAAATAAGTAAATTTAATGTAAAAATAACCATAACTTAACGTTGTTACATTTTTTAAATACTTTGACCTCATGACGTTCGATTTATGTGTTTTTTGTTCTTGTCATTATTATACTGTTGACTTAATTTAACAACAAGAAATAAATACATCATGGACTTTGGGGGGGGGGGGGCTACCCTGAGTTTACCCCACCGGGTGACACCAGCCCTAGCTACCCCACTGTCTAGAAATAGCATTTATTGAAAAACATCCATTTTATAATGGTAACTACTGGATCCACAAAAATTGAAAAACCTGAAAGAAAGTTCGATTTATGTGTTTTTTGTTCTTGTCATTATTATACTGTTGACTTAATTTAACAACAAGAAATAAATACATCATGGACTTTGGGGGGGGGGGCTACCCTGAGTTTACCGCACCGGGTGACACCAGCCCTAGCTACGCCACTGTCTAGAAATAGCATTTATTGAACAACATCCATTTTATAATGGTAACTACTGGATCCACAAAAATTGTAAAACCTGAAAGAAACTTGGGCTCAGAGATGCATGAGGTGAGAGACTATCAAACAAACAATGGGCACGTCACGCAAAGTAAAAGTTTTCAAAACCACAATCTCCACGTGTACCACCATGTTGAAAGTCAATTTATTCTCTGCTTATACTTGCATACAACAAGGGGCATAATCCCTCCACCAGAACAAGTAACAATTTTTACATTGTAATATAACATGATTGCCTAAAATTATCAATAAATATAAACTATTAATTAAACAAATAATCCAGATACATCAAAACTGAAAGTAAGAGAATGAAATAGATGACTGCCTTAGTCTTTTGGTCAGTTTGTTGAAATATTAAACACACTGCACTTCCGTCAACACCACAATGGAACCAGTTCATGAACAACAGGATTCCTTTACAAACAAAACTAACACTCACTGGGAGGTAGAAGGAACTAATTTTGCTCTTATTTTAAAAAAAAAAAAAAATAGTCTATAAATATTCCAATGTGCATTTAAGTTTTGACAAGAAAACATGGTGAGAAAACTAAAATAAGTTAACACATAAATTTCACAAACTGAATAAAACAACATAATACCCAGTATTACTTGTGAAAAAATTCTTCAAAACAGATTTAACCATTATCTGTATGATTAAATAAATTAAAACTGAAAGATTGGGTAGTCTTCACCTGAAAATAAAAACAGTACAAAATAATATTTAAATTATGCGTCATCAGGAGGTATTTAAGATAATGGACCATACGCTGCAGTTAGCCTTTCTCTCAGATCAGTTGGTATTCACCATAGCCGTTAAATAGGATGACATTAAAATTCCCAATACGTTTCTGGTTTCATGGTGAGAATAATATATCCTACACATGTCAACCAAAAAGATTACACTAAACCATCTCCCTTCTGAATGAAATGAATATTTGGGACATTTTCCAAAGTCTTTCTTAGGTCAGTTATGTCAGCGGGATATATGTGACAGCAGCCCCCAATCCAAGTGGCGCCCGCATCGAGCCATTCAAGGACATGGTCAGACAAGTTGTACTTGGATCCAGACCTAGGGAAAGTAGCAATGAGAAGGAATCAAAACAACTTTGTGAGAATTTAACACAAGTCAGAGGATGGGGATTTTTATGGTCAGATTTTTATCTGGCATGTCAAGGGATAACTATCATGACTGAATATGCTCAAATCATAGCAGTTTATTCAGTAGTGAGTTAACCATTTTAACTTGTCATTTGGCAATTGTAAAATTTTATGACCTAGTAACTTAATTTATATATTATTTTTCATTTGACATCAAAATCCAGGTCTAAATGCACAATGGTGCATATACCTTGAATGTGCCCTGTCTGTCAGTGTCAGATGAGTAAAACAAACACTTATTATAGTTGCAGAGTGCCTCAATCTGAATATCAATAAACAAAGAGTAATGGAGCCATGTCTTGTATATTTCATCCTATCAACTTCAAGTAAAAAATGGGTTGAATTGATTGACTTTTGTGATGGTAATACAGAATGCCAAACTTACTGGGAACCCCATAATCCCTTAATTAGGTAATCCCTAAATCCTTTCTGTTTGACTACAACAACCACCTTTCCCTTATCAATCACTGCAGTGACATTTAAGGCAACATTCGTTTGATAGAAATAGAAAGGCCCATACATAACTGTGGTGACATTTAGACACGGAAGCAGTATGGTGGGTGAGCAGCTTAAAGTTGATGGCATGTGGTGGCATCCAAGGCTATTGAGAAAGTTGAGGAACTGAGATGGATTTAACGCCTCATTGGCATCATGACTTTACAAATGGATTCATAGTTAGTAACGGAGCCTGGAATTTTATCTTGAATGTGGATGATGATTTGACTGACTGACAGCATTTTCTTTAGCGGCAAGGATTGCTATTTCACACAACCACATATGATTTTTAATTGTCCAACATCTTAAAATATCAAAATAACATTACAACAAATATTATGTAATGGATGGCACCATGCCACCAACATACTAAAGGCAACTAAGTAATGAAAGTACCTTCACCTACTGGGAAAGATTGTCAGTGAAAACTCGGGCAGTTGATGTTCTTAGGTCCTCAATTTTATGCTTAGAGGAATTTTTTAACGTGTCTCTAAAGAGCTGACGCCTTAAGGTAGCATTAATAGGCTGGTCTAGGTATGACAGGATAATTCTGGCTATTAAATTAAACCTTGGCAAGCGCTATTTGTCAATTTAAAGTTTCTCTCTTATCTCTGGCTCAATAGGATTACATGACAGGTAATAAATATGTTATGAGCTCTGGAAGCTTTCACATGTGACATGGCATCTTGAGTAGATATCAGTGCATGTGTCTTGCAGTAGGCAGAACTGCCCTTTTCTCAATGTTATCAATGTGCCTTTTACTGGCTTTGAATGATTATGTCAACGGAAATGAATTCATCCCCAGCTATAAGGATTGCAGCTTTGTTTATTTGAGCAGTAGAGCGACCTTCGAGTTCAGCCACAGTGCTGTTAGAACTGATGAGTACATTTGTTCATCCATCAGCATCTGCTATAGTGCTGCTTTGAACATTTTCAAATATCTGCTGATGGTTCTACACGATATCTTGACTCATGATCGTGATGTAATCCTATTTTGTGCTACAACTTTCATTGCACTTTAAAGTTGTTGCCAATCAACCAACTGCCTTCATCTCTACATGTGGCACAAAATCATGTCATTTGGAAACATGAATTTTATCATCTTAAGCTCTCTAGGAAATGATTTTATTCGCAAGTTGTTACAGACAAGACAATGAAATAGTAGAACAAGGGGTGTTGCCTACTGTTTCATATACACAGCTTGAATGCAGTCCTTCAATTCTTATCTTACAGACATGACAGAGTCCAGTCATCTGCTGGTGTTACTACTCATACAACACATTCCAGGTATAAGGATCTACATATCTGGTCAGTTCTGATGTTGATCGTAGCCCTTGTGAGGATCTCTATGAAAACTCATATATTTACCCATAGAAAAGTCCAAACCTAGGTTTGGGAAGCACTGTTTAGGGATTTTATCCCTCAATTTTCAACATTGCAGAGAAGTGATTTAAAATATAAACAGTTTTCATGACATAAAAACTGTTTTATCCAAAGCTTTCTAAATCACAATTAGTGGATTAAATAACAAAAAAATCTCAACTGTACCGGTCAACAGCAGTATAGGGGAAAAGATTTTAAGAAACATAAAAATACATTACTGTGCACATCAAGGATATACAACAAAAATCAGCCAAGCAAAGATGATAAGAGAAAGTTTCAAACCTGCCGTCCTGTTGAAAGATTCCACCATTGGGCTTCACAACAATTGGGATATTTAGTTTGCAAGCGCTGATGTTCTGTACCAGAGAGAGTACAAAGCTTGGGTGCACACAGTTCACCCCAACAGCAATCACATTGTCATACCGCACCACAGATCTGACAGCATCCTGAATATTTTCCCCATGAGCAGTGTGCTCCCCATCCTGTATGAAATAATATGAAGAAGTGACAATGAGAGCTTCAGTGGTTCTAGACTGGATCTGCTGCCATTCATAATTTGTTTCTTGTTATTCTAAACGTGTGTTTACACTATTTAGGTTGTGTCTTTTGTTGGTCTCTCATTCTATTATTAGATTTAGATGCAAACTCAGTTCATTTTTTTCTTAATGGAACAAGATTTTTAAAAAAAAAATTTGATTTCAAACTTTTAATCTTACTCACTCCTTAAGTAAAAAATAAAAAAGATTGGTCAAAATTTTAATTTAAAAAAGGTGTATAACTTGGTTTTACACAGTTTTTTTTTTAAATTTAAACAAAATAGAATTGACAGTGAAAAATGTGGATCAGTTTTTTTTAATTGTCAATTTTATTTTTTTAAAGTTATGATATTGCATTTTTTATGTTATTTTCTTAATTGGGATCATTTAAAACAAAAATAAGAATACCTGAAATAAAGCATTTAATTTTCTGACATTGTCCAACTTGAAATTTTCAGTTTAATCAGAAGAATTTTTTGAAAAAAATCTTTTTAATAATAAGAATTAAAATTGCAACAATATTTTACACCTGACAGAGAATAAACTGAGAAGCTTCAAAATTTGTAATTAAAAAATATTCGGAAACTATTTGTTGTTATATATATGCAAAAATATGGCAAAGATTGTGTTATTTTATAATCACAAATCTACAACAAAAATAATTAGGAGGAAATCATCCATCTCTTTTCACACCTCGAACTTACTTTACACTGAAATGTAACCCAGGCTTTCATATGAGGAAAATGTCTTAAACTATCCAGTATGGCCTCTGCTTCCATGAGTACAGGAATAGTTTCTATAGCAAGCAGATCTGGTAATGAATCAACAAGAACTTGTAGGCGTGGAAGGTGCCAGGCACTAAGTTCCTAAAAATAGAAAAGTCAACTTCTTTGGGTAAAAGGCTACACGTTAAGATAATCTTGCAAAATAGTAAATTCTACCAAATGCTGAAGCTGATTCTTAATTACTAATCCAAAGTTGTAAAGTCCCAACATATCAGAATATCTTCTAATCATCATTTAACACACTGTCAAGAGCAAGGATCCTGCTATAGGCCAGTCACAGGCTACAACTAGAAGGAACAAATGCCGCCCCATCCCAGAATGCCTCTCTTGGGGTAAACCCCACGTGAGTGACAGCTGACTCTCATGATGCAATTCAACATTTTAAACATTAAAATGATAAGACAAGATTCTTTTATTGATAAAATAAATGGAATTGTTTTTTTTATTACAAAGTACATATTCATTTTCAGCGCATTCATAAATATTATTATAGATACACACAATTTTACAAACTAAGAAAAATTTAACACAAGAAATCTAAAAGTATTTCTCAAGTCTCAACCAACATATGTGAAGGAACTTAACTCAGTTAGTGAAAATGTGGACTTTAAGACCAATTACTTGGATATTTTTTTAACAGCTGGGGGCGTACGCTGGTAAATTCTTACAGATTGGGGTAAAAATGAATTTTGATATATTGACTGCAGGTCCGCGATGGCATAGAGTACAAAATTGCAACTCTGTGCTACCGCTGCTTGCATGACCTGGCACCGTCCTATATCAAAGCGCTACTTACGCCTTATGTACCCACTAAGACAACTCCGCTCATCTGATAGTGGCAAACTCTTGATACCACGTGTTCGCCTTGAGACTTACGAGGGGCGCACTTTCGCATTTGCTGGCCCAACAATTTGGAACATTCTTCCTTTCGCTATCAGAAACAGCCAGACACTGGAGTCTTTCAAAAATGATTTGAAGACTTATCTTTTTTGCAAACACCTGCTGGGGTGATGTTGTCTATATAGCTATTATCTTTTAGATGTATATTGGCCTGTGTTATTTATGGTTGCAAGGTCTGAAAGACTTAGAATGGGTATTCTTGTATGTAGTTTTGTAATGTTGAATTTTGTATTTCAATGTGGTGTGTACCGCGCTTCGAGCCTTTGGGGATGAAGCGTGATTTTTAAATAATCTTTATTATTATTATTATTATATTATATTTCAGCCCTTACTTTGAGAGAAAGAATTTGCTCTCATGGCGATGATCTTAATCTTAGGTATCTGTGATGAAGAGGGTGTGATGCATCAGCCAAAATATATTTAGTTTTACAAATGCATAGTGCTTCAAATAGTTCTTCAAGCGAAGGTAGTTTTGATAGAGCAATTTAACTTGGTTTCTTGATAAATCTATTTAATCGGTGTTTGATGAGAAGTGATCAATTCCCACACCAGCAGGTAATTCTGAGGTTGTTCAGTAGGCTTTCAATTGTTGCACTGTAAAACATGTTAATAATTTGTTGTTTATGCCAACATTTTATAATATTTAAGACAGAAAGTCTTTGGTTAACTTTTTTTCTATAGAATTAGGCTCTGTCATGCTATGTTAGCTTATTAATTGGTGACATCTAGGTACTTGTACTTATATGTCTCTATTAGCTCTATACTGTGATTTGAGATGGGTATGTAGATGCAATAATATAGCCTGGGGTTTGCACACAGCTATGAAAGTGACACTGAGTGTGTGTTACTTTATGTGTACTTTATAACTATATTAAGTGGCACCTTGCCAAAAATATCTTTGACATTGTGAAGCAGATTACACCTCATGTCTTTGCTATTGTATATGTTTTGCAGACAGCAAATACTTATAGGTTTATTAGAGCGATTTTGGTTGTATTCCCATAGATCAGCTTCCCCATCTAATCAAATATTAGAGAGCATGCAAATACCTCTTTAGTCATTGTATCAGAATACCTCCCATGGTACTCTGACCTATCACAAAGTGTTGCCCCATATGGTCCAACAGATGCAGCCACAAATTTATGAAAACCTGTTTTAATAGATATAAAAAATAATTAAAAATTTAAAACAAAATAAGAATATACACTGAGACATCCATGGTCTGGACTAATTGTGGTTTGACCCTAACTGAATTTAATTTAGTCAGATTTTTTAATTCCTGGTATCTTCAGTTCAGTCAACTAAATATAAAAATAACTATTTAATTGAAAAGCTAGGAAGAAACAAAAGAAAATAACTGCAGAAATTACAGCAGCATACTAGTTGACACCTGCAAATATGCTTACAGCATTTAATTACAAAACACTTGAAGCACTGTCACATGTAAATATTTATGGATTAAGTATTTCATTGTTAAAATTCTCAGACAAATAGCCCTAGGTCAATGCTCAGCATCTAAACATGCCTTGTCAATGTTTTACTGTGTGACTTGTGAAAGGTTACTGTCAAGAATGTACACACGAAAGTGAGTTTTTTTGGTTATGTTTTTAATCACAATCAGAGAACTGAAAGCATTTACTTTAATGTTGCAATTCGCGCACCATAGAATTTTTTTTTTTCTAATGAAACAATCTGGATTGTCGATATCTTTCTGTTAACTCAAATAAAATAGTTTCTGATGCCTATCGCATTTTGAATTTTTCATTCTTCTCACAGACTTTAGAACATCCAAAAAGAGGATAGATTTTTCATCTTTAATGGGAAACTCACAAAAAATACCACTCCTGGGCCTGTGTCCCCACCTTTGTAACTGTCAGTGTGAGAACCAGGAACTGAAACCTCCTACTACCCACTAATTGGGTGGTTGCTAGGTTAGCCTTGCTAAAAAAGTTCCCGTGCTAATTGAACCGTTTGGTGTTAAAACGGTGTTAATTTATTCAGCTGTTTGGCACCATATCTCCATATGGTATTAATCAAATAATATCCTACTGATGTTTCTCCGTTTCCCTATATTTCATCTATTTTCTTATTGCTGTTTGTTGATGTATCCCTGGATATTCTGGTCCATTATTATTGTGGACTTTATTTTTCACAGTGTCAATATTTATATTCTCTCGCTTCCTGTTTTCCCACTTCCGGAGACACGAATGAATACTGCTTCAGTTGTCTACGGTGTTCTTTTCTTTGTTATATTTTCATTTCTATTGTTGGCTGAGGAAGGCTTTATGCCGAAACGTCCTTGTTTTTTGTCCTGTTAGCTTATTTCAAGCTTCCACATACCTCGTTTCACTATTTCATTCATTTGGTGTTAAAAGTGGTCTACAGTTGGATCCACCAGGCAGATTTGCTAGCCTATATGATCTTTTACTTAAGGTTGTTTTTTTTTAAAATGAAGTATTGACTAAATGCATCTTAGAATCCCTCTATACAATGTTTATAGGAAAAAAAGCCTTCTCCACCTGTTAGTTTTTCAGCCTCATCTCTTGCTTCCTTAGCAAGTTCAACCCCTTTCCTGATCAGACCAAAGGCTTCAGTATCACTAATGCCAAATCTGCTTTTAAACCCCTCAGCGGAAGCTTGGTAAGTAGCAGATAGCACAATGTCAGCACCAGCCAGAAAAAAGCTGATAAAGAATTTCAATTATGACTTTCTTGAAAATTGTTTATTTCATTTCAAAGGACTTAGAAAATTATAATGACCAATATCCACTTAAATGTTTATAATGATGAAGTATTTATAAAACTCAAAACATGATCCATATGAATTAGTAATACATGTTGAAAAAAAGGTTTGCTGCATTAACTATTTTTTAAGAGTCTTTACTAACAAATCATGAAGAAATATCAAAGGTTTATATATTCATTTGTACTACAAAATGAACAACTAACCCTAAAATCAATTATGTCTGAGATATTTATGATTATTAATTCATTGTTTTAATTTACTCTTTATGGAGTTTGACTAGGTCTTCAGGATGAGTAGAAATTACAGCTGCAGACCAAAGAGGATCAGTCTGAAACATTAAAACAAACACAATCATAAAACTCTCATCTAATATTTTTTTGAAGTTGTTATTTGCAATTTGATCCATTTTGATTCTAATTTTAATTTTTTAAATTTATAAAATTATGTACATGTTCAGCTTTCTTTTTTTTTTGCAGATTGTCCATATATGATATATCACAAAAATAAAAGCTGTCAGAGAAAAGGGCAGGGTGTCCAGATTACGAGATTTTAATTTTGCATCTACTACTAGGTTACTGGTGTGTATTTTAATAATTTTATGTATTTATTTATGGGGAGGGGGGGCGGGGGGAAAGAAGGGGGGAGGGTGTAAATATGGGCTAGTTAAATATGCATTTACTTTCTGCAAGTTAAATTCTTTTATTGGCAAATTTCATTCATAAAAATATTTACCAAGCCCAATTTGTTTAGTGTATTCATTGATAACCCACCCACTATGGTCATCATCTAGAAACTATTGTGAATCCCAAATTATGCATTTTAAGGCTCTAAATTTAAAAGCTACTTACTCAAACTTATCAAACTCTCATCTGTATTGAGCTGTAGTATTGACACTGTATTTTACTACAATATAGTAGGCCTTAAGCAGTACTAATAACTTTTGAATACTCATTTGCCACTTGACCACTCACACATGACTATGTGCTACTCTAAAAGTAAACTTTCTCAAACTCAAACTAAAAGCACTACAGTCCAGTACTTGTAATACTATCCATGGCTTTTTTTTGTCGCACAACACACCTGAACAGCATACAGGCACCTTTTTTCAATGGATTTTTCAAAGTAACTTTTGAACATTTTATGTTCGGTCCATGTGCTCTTGAATCATCCTGTCCAGCGTCGCAGGTCAAGGAAAAATAATTAAAATGCTATATGCAGGCTGCTTTGCAGAAGGATGTGGCAAAAAGCTTGGCTTTCCCCAGGCGGAACTATCCCTAGCTACGCATGTGAATGATAAATAATATATTTATTTTAAAAAATGTTTGCAAAATGTAAAAAATGACTAGTTATTTCTGAACCACCTGTCCTGCTGATAAAAAGGACAGAATATTAATACACACAATGACAGAACACACAAAAAGTAGGACGTCTATTGATATATCAGAATCTGATCTTGAGAAACAAAGCTGAACTACAAATTTTAATGACCTATGATAATCCTTTAAACTATGGTAAAATTTATATGTTACTTTAATTAAGGTGCCATCCATAAATGAGTCAAACTATTTGGGCAGATTTTGGATCCCTCCTCCCCACTGTGACAAATTTGTCATATAATTTAGTCACCCTCGATGTGAAACCCATCACAATACTGCGTAATAAAATCCCACCCCCCACCCCAGCCCGATGCGTGACATCATAATGGATGATCATTAAAATATTAACCAGATGTGAGTACCAGCACCTTTTTGGGCAATTGTACGCTTGACGTTTCCCCCCTATTCTACCATGGCTGCCATTCCATGACGGAATGTGTTGTGACAACCAAGATGGCAGCTGTGTAAAAAAAAAAAAAAGCACGCACACCTCTACTAAAAGGGGAGAGGAAAGAGAGATAATGTGCTGTTTAAGCTACATACCAAAAGAAAAGAAATAGCACAAAAATTAAGGTAAAATTTAATTGTCACTCCCTCTTCTGGCGTAATTTCAGCCAATACATTAATTTTGTCGCAAAAATAGCAAATTTGTAATATCTAGATAGGCAGCAAGATGTGTCAACCACCCGGGGTTGCTCTCTTCCCTCAACTAAAACACTTTAAAATAATGAAAACCCAACTTACAGTTTCACACACTTTAATCCAAGTTCCACCATTTTGTGGCTAAAGTAGCAACTTTGTTGTATCCCTCTAGATATGCAGCAAGAAGTGTCAATGCCCTGCGGTTGCTCCCTTCCCTCAACTTACATGCATGTGCTATAAAATTTGGCCTCATTTTAAATCTAGTTTTAATTATTATAATTAACCACCAAATGAAATATTAATTTTACAACATTCCATCAGAGTATTATTGTTAATAATTAAAAAAAGAAATTTTAACTCTTAGTAACAATCCAAGAATAAACAAATGGGAACTCAATCAGAGTAGACATTGTCCCTTTTTTTGCTACAAAAAAGCACTGATACTACTATAGAGTCTATACTATATAATACTAATGGGCAGAATACGATAAAAGTGTAGTCCAGATGCACATATTTCTCAACAAATTTCGTATTTTCACATATAGACTTACGTGTATTCTATATTAAATTATCTACAGGCAGTAATAGTTAATAAATACTAAATTTTACAGTGCTTATTTTTCTTTTAATTTGGTTTCTAAAGCATCTTTGAACAGCTCCATTCTAACCTTATGTGCCAGATTTTTTCGCCTAGAAGTTTCTATGCTAAATGAAATTTTGAAAAATGAAGACATGCATTTTAAAAAAGGAAATACTGGAGGGGGGGAAATGGGGTTAGTGAAATTACAATATTCCATTTTGGGCAGGGGGCCATTATTCTTTTTTTTTTCTTATATGAGCTTTATAAATATGATTTCAGACTGAACTTAGCACACATACACTGCATTATCCCTATTCAAATACTGAAGGGTACTGAACTCACAATAGCCACTCCTTTGGAACTGGGGCCCCAAGTTCATTCTTCTTTATATAAGCTAAATAATTAAGCATAGACTTTAAGCTCTGTACCTATACTATATCCATCATAATTCATTTTTAAATATTTTTGGAATTTTCCAGAAAGTTTTATTATTTTCGTTAAACCTCAATAAATAATTTAATATAAATTAATATAAATTCAATTTCTTGTTTTGTTTTTGTGAACAGTCTGAAAATTTCATTGAAAATTTCATTTAGCATACCAACTTATAGGTGAAACAAATCTGGTATACAGAGTGAAAAATTCAAAACAAATAGAGCTATGTATCTTTGGGGGCGGTTCAAAGACACTTTAGAAATAAAAATCAAATGAAAAGAAAATTAAGCGTTGTACAATTTATTATTAGTTAACTACTATTTCTGCCTAGAGTTAATTTATAAAGAATGCATGTAAGGGGCCATCCATAAATGACGTCAAGCAAATATTGAAAATTTGTTACCCCCCCCCCATCATCGTCACAATTCGTTATAAAAGTTAGACCCCCCCCCCTTTCTCAAATGTAACATCACAAATCTCTAACACTACTGTCCTTTGCAAACCTTTAGAAAATTCACCTCTCATGGATTTAAAATTTACTGCACCTATGTCTGAAACATTTCCCTAGAACAGTGGTTCTTATATTATTGAAGTGAAAGTACCCCCTGAGGCGAAGAAGACCCAGAAAATTGGGCTGCTTCTTAGTTTTCACCCCGTGACGTCATTTGCTTGTTTTTTTTATAATTGCAGTGAATTAGGGTTCAGGTTAGGCGCAGGGATCGATTTAGGGTTCAGGTTAGGCATAGGGATCGATTTAGGGTTCAGGTTAGGCATAGGGATCGATTTAGGGTTCAGGATAGGCATAGGGATCGATTTAGGGTTCGGGTTAGGCAAGGGATAGATTTTCAAAAAAATGCTATTAAATTTATTTATTTCCTTTCATTTTTTACAAATTAAAACATTTTTCCTCCCTTGCCTTCCTTTTTAATCGCACATGTTTTGCACTACTTTTTGAGCCGCCATTTTTTTTTAGTCACGGGACGTGTCAACCAAGATGGCGGCCACTGAGAAAATAGTGGCATCTCCAATGACTATTTACCCAATTATTTTCATATTTTAAATGTAATGGGAGTCACTTTGTCACTTCCTTGTTTAGTCACGAGATGAGAGTAAGCAATCACTAGGCTGCTACACACAACAAAAGATACTTCATCAGTGCTTACCCAATGTCATGTTACTTAAAAATGTTACCTTTCAAAATATTCTGGGATACACATGTTTTTTAAATGAAATACATATATGTGACAATAAATATACGTCAATTATGATTAAAGGAGGAAAGTTATTTCAAGAAAAATTTGCGAGCGATATTCGATGGGAACTATCATCGGCAGGCTGTTGTTGAGCTCCGTGCCAATGATGTCATTTGCGTGTTTATTTAATATTTGTGAAGGAGTCATTTCCCTTTGTTTATTTTATTGTTAATTTTCATTGGACGAAATGTCGGCATACCCGTAACGTCATTTGCGTGTTTATTCGATATTTGTGCAGCGAAGGCCTATTTTAATAACTTGTTGGGACAAGATTTCATGTGAATAATTAACGAAGATCCACTTTGTCAAGCCATTGTCTTAAATCTTCTTTATCCTTAAGCGGAAACTTATGCAGACTGATACCGCTGTCCTTAACTTCACTGTTTGAACAGCCAAAAGCCAAACATTGCCTAGGCATCTTGAATTACTAGTTGTAGTGTGTAACAGACTACTGTTGTCAAGCACTAGTGTGTTGCATACAGCCTCCCGGAAGTCTTACTCGTATTTACTCTCATCAAATGACAAAACAATCGACTTAGCGACTCCCATTACAATTCTGAATACTACATAGTATAGAAGACTGAAGAGCCTATAGGCTCAGGAGCCTAATTAATAAATTTAAGAATTAGCCTATCTGAGCCTATCACTATCAATTTATTTTGTTTTTTTTGTTGTTGTTGTAATTTTTACTTACGTCAATAAACTTGTGACCCATCTCAACCAACGACATTCCTGTTCCACCATCAAGCAGCAACACGCGCTTTGAATTGCTCATGACTTGTAACAAATTTTACTCAGAATGCACAAGATAAGAGTAATTACAAAATAAAGTAAATAGACATAGATGATAGATGCATCAAATGTTATTTTTACGAGTTTTATAAACAATACAGTCGATAGCAGTTGGGGTCATAAGGAAGTATTGTTATCATTCGCATTTTAAATTATTTATAGAATTATTCAACATTTATTAATAATAAATATATAGTATAGGGTATATGATGTCCAGTGGCGTAGAAAGGGGTGCGGAGGGGCAGTCCACCCTGGGTGGCAATTTTTACCTTACTGTTAGTTATATTATAGGCCTAATTATATGGTTTTCGCAAATTTTATCAGTTTTAATATTTGAATTTGACTTGTTAGATCAGGCCTGCACAACTCAAAATGTAAGGCGGGCCTCAATACTTTTCCCATTCATGGAGTGTGGGTCTGGGTAACGAAACAAAAAGGGGAAGGGTTAAAGTTGAATGCCACGACTCGTGATGAACAGAAACTAGGTCAACACACAGGTTACAACACTTATATTCGGGGGGAGGGGGGGGGGGAATTTTTGGCACAACTTCATAGTTTTTTCGTGGAGATGGGCGACAAATGGGTGAGGTAGACTCATGGTAACATCTCGCCAGCCTTCAATATGGGCCTGCTCTGTCTTTGCTTGCTTGTTTAAGTTTGATGACACTGCTCCATTTAAGTGTTTCTTTAAAAAATTTTCCCCCGGGAGGGCACTTCAGATTTTCGGGGAGCGGGGAGTGCCAGCAGTTCCAGTTGATTTATTGTTGGACATATTTTCGCTCCGGGGGGCACTTGGCTTTCCCCGGGGGCACTGCCCCCCCCCGAGATATAGCTGAAAGAAACACTGCTCCATTATGTTCCAGCTTGTTTCCAATACAACAATAATTGCTTCAGCATTTTTTCCCCAGCAATTTGTATAAAGTTTATTTTTCAAGTCAAACGATCACACAATTGGTAAACTCTGCTCAACATTGGATATATCCATCCATCCATCCCTGTGGTGCTACAGCCCATGTAGGGCTTTGGCCTGCCTCACCACTTCCTTCCACTCAGACCTAACGAATGCCTTTCTTTTCCATGCTTTGACTTTCAGCTGCTGTAGATCTTTTTCTACATCATCTCTCCACCTAAGCCTAGGTCTGCCTTTGAGCCTTTTTCCTCTGGGGTATTGGTGATGCCAGAGTAGTACAAAATATGCATTATGATTCAATCCTCCCATTACTACCCAAAGACACATATGGGATAGAGTAATGGAAGGGGTTCTGCAGCACAGCACCCTCTCGATTTCAAAGCATTTCTAACCCCTTGTTCCAACCCCACCCCCGCTGGGATAAAAATAGTGTTGTAAGAAAATAAATAAATTTAAAAAATTATTCAGTTGGTTGAGTTAGAGGCTTTTCCTTCTTTAGTTAACTTAATAGAACAAAAAATAATAATTTTGCTTAAAAATTTCCTTGGTCTTACCCACAAGAAAAATATGTCTTCTTCTGTGGGTATAAAAAATATAAGTTAGTTGACTTGTTGTGAATAAGATAAAATACGGCAGTACAATATTTTTACTATTATCTTCTTGCAGACCAGTGGTGATCAAGCTTTTTTTCGGTCACTACCCCATTGAGACCAAAATTTATCATTATCAGTTGCTTGACCTACATTCCACGACTGTTTACGTGTTCGCTAGTGCAAGACGGTGGGGAAATAGATATTTTTACTTGACAAGATAGATATATTACAGACATCAAGTTGTGCGTACACCGCCACATATATAATTGTATAAAACAAAGCGTAATATCAGCCGTGGAATTTGACCCCGGGGACAGGTTCCAATAATATCGGTATCTAGCGAACTGCTTGTCTCGCCCCCCCCCCCACCTCACCAGGCTTAGATATGGAATTGCAATTGGAGCTTTTTGTATGGGGTCAATACTTTCTTTCTCGGGAACCCCAGTGAAACATGCAATAAAAACCGCCAAATATATAATTGTATAAAACAAAGCCGAATATCAGCCGTGGAATTTGACCCCGGGGACAGGTTCCAATAATATCGGTAACCAGCCAACTGCTTGTCTCGCCCCCCCCCCCCACCTCACCAGGCTTAGATATGGAATCGCAATTGGTGCTTTTTGTATGAGTTCAATAATTTCTTTCTCGGGAACCCCAGTGAAACATGCAATAAAATAAATTATATCTTGCGGGAAATGGGATTTTATAATCTATTTCTTAGTATATTTAAATTTGCAGGTCTCCATCTTTAAGAGTATATTTTAAAATTAAAGCAAATTAGAGCTATTTCATCCGTGGGGCTAGGTTGGTCCCAACCCCTTTTATCTACTATATCACATAGATAATTTTTATGTAAATATAAAAGTATACTTACCTCACAAAGCCGAGCATAAACGCACTACACGTACACAGAAACATGTAAGTCATTAATGTTTTGGTCTGGGGTTCTGGTTTTATTCGGGTTTGAATCTCCAAGGTTTGTCAATTTTATCAAAACTTCCCGCTGTCAAGCTGCCTAAATACCTCGTTTGGCATGCGATGAAGTAAGCGTGTTCACATGACAGGCTCGCACAAATCTACTCATCTTTAACAAGTACCACGCATTTTGCATTGAAAGTTTGAATCGCAGTTCTTAGTGCACCATTGTTTGAATCGCAGTTCTCAGTGCACCATTGTTTGAATCGCAGTCCTCAGTGCACCATTGTTTGAATAGCAGTCCTTAATGCACCATTGTTTGAATCGCAGTCCTCTATGCACCATTGTTTGAATCGCAGTCCTTAGTGCACCATTGTTTGAATCGCAGTCCTCAGTGCACCATTGTTTGAATCGCAGTCCTTAGTGCATCATTGTTTGAATCGCAGTCCTTAGTGCACCATTGTTTGAATCGCAGTCCTTAGTGCACCATTGTTTGAATCGCAGTCCTCAATGCACCATTGTTTGAATCACAGTCATTAGTGCACCATTGTTTGAATCGCAGTCCTCAGTGCACCATTGTTTGAATCGCAGTCCTTAATGCACCATTGTTTGAATCGCAGTCCTCTATGCACCATTGTTTGAATCGCAGTCCTTAGTGCATCATTGTTTGAATCGCAGTCCTCAATGCACCATTGTTTGAATCACAGTCCTTAGTGCACCATTGTTTGAATCGCAGTCCTCTATGCACCATTGTTTGAATCGCAGTCCTCTATGCACCATTGTTTGAATCGCAGTCCTCAGTGCACCATTGTTTGAATCGCAGTCCTTAGTGCACCATTGTTTCGCCGGCACCATTTGGACGGTTTTGTTGTACTTTTTATGTGCATTTTTCTTCAGACTTTGGTGTTTGTTGTTGGTTGCCACACTCTAAGAACCAATAAAAAGATAGCGTTCTCAGGACCTGAATTTCTAGATTTTCCTATATTTACATATTTAAAAACTGTCCTGCCAACTAGCCACAATTCACACACGTGGCACACGGGTACAGTTTTTGGTGCTGCAAGCAGGGTACAATTGTGCCACCAACCAATCACCCAGACGGCACAATTTCATGGCTAAATGATTTTAATTAAAAAAAGTATTCCTGATAAATTCTTCAGCACCCCCTTTGGGAATCCTAGCGCCCCCTAATATCGCCTGAGCCTTTCAGTGCCCCCATGGGTATCTCACTCCCCTCCAGGGTGCGGTACCGCCCACTTTTAGAACCATCGTTGTAGCGCAGATGTTAAAACGATATATATATATATATATTTCTCAAGCTTGGTGGTGCTGCAAGTTTTAGTTCTTTCCATGGGCACCATAAGACTCCAGTGATAAATGAAAAGGATATTAGACCTATGGGAAATTTAAATTGGTAGCAAATAAGTAAGTTTGCAAAAGCGAGATAACCGTGAGAAAAGGGGAGATCAGTAAAAAGAGGAGAAAAAAAAAAGAAAGGGTTGGGGGAAACCAGAACGGAGACATACTCTAATTTGGAAATATTTGTTTTCGAATTTCTGGATACTTAAAGGCTGATATGATAAGATAGGCCGACAGGAATGAATTAAAACGGTGCCCGTGGGCATCCCGTTGAACAACAATGGGTAATAAGGGGAGAGACTGCAATCAGGTATTTCTTATTTTTATACCGTTTTTTCTGTTGTTTTGTTCGCTGACGAAGGCTTTCTGCCGACACGTTCGCTGTTTTGTTGCGTTTATTTTTTCAGGTTTAACCCTACTCTGTTTTACTCATTTTATTTTGAACAACAATGGGAAGAAATAACAGCTTGATGGGCCCTTTTTACCAAAACCTGGTATTTTATATATTGAAGTTTTACGATACGGGAATCCCGATATTTTCGATGTTCTCAATATTCAAAGAATTTTTCGTGGAGGTTCGAGGTAGTCTAGTCTAACGATTTATCAATGAAATAAAAACGTACAGAAAAAAAAATCACATTTTGATTTTTAATAAGCTTTTTAACAATAACACAAAAATATAGCTTAAGACATTAATCAAACGAACAAAAATAATATTCTTAACTTTTTAATTTAACTAGTTTTATTCATCAAATGTTCAAATGGTATGTGTTTTAATCGTTGGTCATATTTCAATAATGAGATCGTAAAAATGACAACGTGTCTAATGTTTGATTTTGATCGCTTAATTTTGAACGCAAATGGTGGCAAAAGTAACCTGATGACAAGAACACCCGCTCAGACTCCACAATGGTTGGAGGAATAGACAGTTTTTTTTTTTTTAAAGCAAGTTCTAGATATTTCCCCTTGAACAACCAAATAAAGCCATCTCTATTTTTACCAGTGTATTAATGTCTCTATCAGTTGGTCTGGAAGTATTATCCCGAGCCTGAAGTTTCTTTTGTATAAAGCGGCAGTGTGTCTTCCGGTGCGTCATGCTCAGATCCAAGTTATTAAATTTCATTGTCCTAGACATTTCCAATGAGAAATCCGCTTTTTGACCAAGCTTTTGAATATGTCCACGAAATGTTTTCTCATCTGGTCGCAACCTGGCTTTCGAAATAGTCCAATTAGTCATTTGACGAATCAAAGTACGTCTATATAGTTATGCAAGTATTTCAATGTTGAAGCAACCAACAATCTGCACTCTTTAATCCAACGCTTCAGAGAGGCAACAAGTTCCCGTGCAACTATTTCATGAAGCATTGTATCTAATTTTTTCAACATAAACATCAAATCCGCATCAGATGGCATTAAGCTGCATCGCGTTTCTTTTGGAAAGTTCTTCCACCGTTGCTTTCCTTACCGTACCGGTATTTCAAATATTTTGCTGAGATTAATTAAACAGTCTTTCAAATTCGTCTTGAGACAATTATGTCAAGATTGATTTTAAATCAATAAGCGCTTTATGAATAAGATTATTTAGTCTTACTATCCTACCTAACACGTCTGCTAAACTATTCCACCTTGAGCTGCAATCTAAAATCAAATTAAGCTCACGACCAATTTCTTCTTTTACATATTTTTCAAAAATCGTATTTTTGGTAGACGACTTTCTGACATTTTTTTCCTTCAGGATTTGGCAGTTTTCCGATTAAATCTATGAAAACAATTTCATTATTTTGATTGATCCAACTGTAACATGAAAACCACAGTTCTCATTATCATCATCAGTCAGAATCATCAGAATCGTTTCCTGCTTCAGGTTGATGATGTTGAGGTTTAAGAGTCTTCTGTTTTTTTAAATAAAGGATCTCTAAGACTGCAAGCTGTGCACCGTGAGCAAGACACGTCTTAATACGGTCATCATACTGGCACCGTCAATAGTTAGGCAGACTATATCATCTGTCAATGACAATTCAAAGTCGGATAGCCTGTTTTCCAACAAATGTAAACATGTTCTGGCCGGCATATTGCCACTCACTCTTACGGGCCAAGATTGGTTAACATAGAACTATGAATGTTTACGTTCATAAAACGAGGATTTCCCAAACTCGTCCATTCATCCAGTGTCAGAGACAGCTTAACTCTTCCATTCATCCAGTGTCAGAGACAGCTTGACTCTTCCATTCATCCAGTGTCAGAGACAGCTTAACTCTTTCTGCTTTCAGCTGACACAGTTTATTAATTAAAGAGGTTTCAACAGTCTCACTGTGCTTTTTCACTATGTTTTGAATTGAATTAGAGGATGTAGGCAAATTGTAGCCACACTGCTTCATGATTCGTCTTGGATCATTAAAGGCAATGAAAAACTGAATGGAAGACCATCTAAAGTTGTCATACAAGAAACTATTTCTGCTAAGCTGGTTGAACTTGAAACATTGTCTGTTAATTCGCTTTATTTCTTGATGTTTTATCGTCTGTGTCGGCAGAAATTTTAGAACAAGATGCCGTAGAAATCAATGCTCTTGGAGTACCGGTACCAGAAACGGTAATATCTTTCAAGACAATGGAATGTGCAGCCTTCAAATAAGTGTCTTGCTACATCTAATGCATTTAGATGAGACTGCGAGATTATCCTTAGCTTTCAAGAAATAATACCACACTGATGTTTTTGTTTCCGATAGTTTCATATGCTCTTCATATTTTGGGTTAGGTTTTTCACGTCTCCACTTACACACCATGTTAACACACAACACACGCACGATGTCAAAACAAAAATAATCCCAGCGCCACGCTTCTTTACAAATGACTCACAGTACACAGATCTAGTCCGTCGGTTGTTTCTCTTTGAACTTGAGATATGTGGTGTGAGGGGTTCACACTTCGCATAAATTATTGTTATGTTATGTCTTACTTCTACTACGACATCGAAACTAAGAAGCGATATACCGTATATTTTTTGAAAAAGGAAATAGTGGAAAACTCGAAAATCGCGGTGTTCATAAATCCCATCCCGGTATTTTCAAGCATCCGTTATAGTTCGGTAACCCGGTATTTTCGAGAGTCGGGATCCCTTTTTGTGACCCTACTTGTAACCAAATGAAATTACCTGTTTTAAAGTTATTTTTTTCTAATTGGTGTCTTCTAAACTGAGGAATTTAACCTATACATTAGGTGCGTTAAAGAAACTAATTTAAAAATAAAAGTGAAGCAATAAATTAACTTTCTATCCTTATTGTTAAATTCTCCCTTTAAAATACTAGCAACGTAAAATGGCTGAACGATAACTGATACTGGTTAAACCTGCAAATAGCACCATTTTTGCGTTATTTCCAAATTCCAGGTTTCACTTAGTATAGTCATCTCGTCCCTTTCCAGTGTTCCAGCCTTCCATTATCATTATTCTGTTGCTTAATAATTTTTTTTTTTAATTCTTCAAGAAATTGTAGCAATATGTATTGAGAACAAATTTTATAAATATTAATATTAAAAAATAGCGAACATTTATGACTATCGGATTATTCGTTAAAGTAAAGATACATAAGAAGCTTACACATTCTAAGTTTAACTTCAGGGATAAAAGGCGAATAGAAAAGCGAATAAAGAGTATACAGCATTTTCCTAAACTTCGACTGAAATTTTGAAGAGTTGTTTACTTTTCACCTCACTAAAAGTAAGACTAAAACATTAAGCTGCGAAATATTCGCCTTTGCACTCCCCAATGAAGTTTCTTTGGTTTCGATGTGACATCATTATCCCATCCACTGCATTAGCAGTTTTTGTTGTTTTTTTAGCTCTCGTTGGGTTTTTTGTGAAGAGGGAATTCGACACTGCTGAAAACGCAGAGCAGAACTGCAGGTTAGTTAGTCATTTGTGATTTAACAACTGAAAGTTAGAAAGGCTGAAAGTCTGAAAGGGACATGCGATATTTAGTAGCCACATACAATTGGAGCCTGACTCAGTGACTGCTTCTTCCCTTCTTCCGGCGTCACTATATAACCTGCTCTCTCTAACCCCCACCCCCTCTCCTAAAGAAAGGGGCTTAGGGGGGAAAATGTCATAAGACCTGGGCGTGGAGGGGAAAAGAGAAAAAAAAGAAGACAGTATCCTAATTTTAATTAAATTTTAAAGCAAAATATCAGGCCTGATTTAGAAGTATAAAAAATTTTCAATTGAAGGCCAGAGAACCCTTTCCTACCAGTTCAGTACCAATGGCACTGTTAATGAAATTAACATTTTCATTTTAATGTTGTACTTTATACTATACTGACTGAGCTGTAATTTAGGCATAGGCTCATTTTAAGTTTAATCCTAATATGATCTTATGGCTATGGGCCGATTGGATTATCATTAGACTTAGGCCGCAGTGGCTTGGGGTTGTTCAAAGACGTTTTATCAATTAAAAATAAAAGTTAGCCCTGTGTACTGTACAATTTAGTCTAATAAAGACTACACATAAGTTATAAGCTTACATGCTAAGATTCGAAATTGGTTAAGAAATAATGTATGCACCTGAACTGCACTTTTACCGCCTTATCTAACAATTTCTAAATTTAAAATATTGGCTATTGTTAATTATGTGAGGTGGTTATTCTAACCCTTACTTACTCTGCCATTTACCCTGCCTTGGAAATAGGCCATCTACAAGTGCTTTCCATTCATCTTGGTCCTATGCTTTCCTTTCCAGTTGTTTCCATGTGTCTCCCATAAGTTGTGTGTCTGCTTGTGTCTTTTTGTATTCTTTGGCCTTCCTCTCTTCCTTTTTCTCTGTGGATTCCATTATAGGTACCGGTATAATCTGTTGACGTTTCCTGGAGATTTACAGAGACTCAGAGAGTGTGCCTTATCCACCTCCATCTTTTTCATATGATGTCTTCAGCCTGTCTCCTCATGGTATGTCCTCAGTCCTCTGTAGTAAATCTTTGTTTTTGATGATGGTGGGTAATTTTATGTTCAGAATCTTTATCATACAAGTGAACATCTTCTGCGTGATGCTCAATGTTGTAATTTTCAGCTCCATAGTGTAGGACTGAATTGATATTAGTGATGAAAATCATTTGCAGAGGCAGCTCCTTTGATTCCCATATTTTCATTAACAGCACACATGCTGACCTAGCTTTACAAATGAGTTGGGTATGAGAAGGCGATAGCTCCCGTTATTATCAGACAAAGGGTTCCGGGCACTCGAGATCAGAGGTTAGCTATTTTATTATGATACTGAATTACCGTATTTATTGGCGGAAAACACCCCCTGAGTATAACACGCACCTCAATTTAAGAAGGAAATTTCAGGAAAAAAAACTAAACATTATATCAGCGTATAACACACGCACACATCATTTGCCCCCTATTTTCAGGGAGAAAAAGTGCATGTTATATGCCAATAAATACGGTAAGCCAGTACAAGCACTAAGTAACTGTTTGTTTGGTCAAATGTTGTCTATTTAATAGTTCAAAAACATCAAAATTTTGAGAAATATACACTTGGTGGAAGTTGGGTTGTCTCATTTCCTTTTTCCAGTCATGCAGAGGGACAGATGGTCAGAGATGACCTTCTTTTAAATGTTTATCCAAGCATGTTAGCAAATGGCAAAGCGAAATGCCAGCAAATTAGGCAGGTTGGTGAGATTTTATGGGCAAAGGTTAACTACTTGGGGTTTCAAAGGTATGAATTGGACCACACAAAGGCAGAGCATCCTAGGTATGTAAGCTGGCGTAGAAGAGACAGTCTAGGAAGGACAGTTAAGTTGGAGACAAGGACAGTTAAGTTGTGGAGGGACATAGGAATAGTGAACTGTTAGTAACAGTCATGTCAAAGTGCTAGTCAGATTATCAAAAGAACTATGTTTTGTCAAGAAATACAAAATAAATTTCATTATCAATTTTGTACCATCTGGAGTTTGATATTTAAGTCTTGTGTGCTTTTGTCTGTCTGAATGCCCAGATACCGGTACCTAAAATGTAAATCATAGAGAGAGGCAGTTGAGTACTGACCACTCCTACATTATCATTAAATTTTGGATCATCTGGAGTTGTTTGGATATTTAAGTCTTGTGTGCTTTTGTCTGGCTGAATTCCCAGATACCTAAGATATAAATCATAGAGAGAGGCAGTTGTGTACTGACCATTCCTACATTATCATTAAATAGTTTGTGACAAGTCAGGACTGAAGCCCTCCTCGTAACACCTGTTCTTTGACACAAGGCAAACCCTGACATCTGCTTCTGATCTACCCAAGTAGGTGAAGGCTTCCACCTCTCCCAGTGCATTTCCTGCCAAGGGGATGTGTTCTTAGTTCTGTTTATCTTCATGATTTTTGTCTTGCTTCTATCTACTTCAATTCCAAGCTGTTCCAAAATAGTGGCTACATCCCTTGTCTTATCCTGAATTTGTTGTTGATTGTGAGATGCCATCTTCAAAGTCTAGGTCTAGGTTTCCCAGGTTCTACACTGTATCCCGTTCTTCATTTTGTATATGGATACTTTCCTTATCCAGTCAATGGCAAGGAGGAAAAGTAAGGGGGGCAAGAGACATCCGTGTCTAACTCCTTATTCTACTTTAAAGCCATCTGTGACTCTCCTTCATGTACGATCCTGCATGTCATTCCTTCATAAGAGTTTTGTATAATACTGACCAGTTTTTCTGGTGCTCCATAATGATGGAGAAGTATTCACTGGTATTTTTCATGCTATCAAATGCTTTTTCTTAATCGATGAAGTTTAAATATAGATTATTATTTTGTAACTTTCTGAAATTAATTTCAAATGAAATTTATTTTCCTTTTTTGAAGAAAAACATATATTGAGTCTAAGGGACCTTGCACTATTAAATGCTGATGCTATGCACTTTTCAAAATAGTCCTTGGTCATTGGATTTAATGAAGCAGTCACTCTTTTCTCATGAAGCTCCCAAATTGTTTCACAGCAGATGTTTGAGGTATAATTTATAAAAATGGCTCCTCATTCAAAAAAGGTTGTTTAGTCGTATCTTAACCCTAATCTGAACTTTTAATTCAAATCAAATTTTATTGTTCTTCTTTCAAGAACAAAAGCATTTGAGTCCAAGTGATCCTATGTGATCCACATGTGATGTATATGGATTTTAAAAAAATCAAAATAGTCTTATGCCATTTGATGCCTTCCTAGATAAGTAGTCATTCTCATCTCATTATCCCTAAATCACAATCAATTCATTTTGATCTTCAACTTCAGGCTTACTGGCTAATATTAAGCAGAACATTATTAATTAACATTGTTAATGTTAAGTATTTGTAAAATATTTAAAGTTTAATGGTAATCTATAAAAATTAATTAAAAAAAAAAAATATTTGGATCAATAAAAGAATAATATCTTATAATCTTATCTGATGTGTATGAAAATCTGGACTACCTTTTCTTGGAAAAGTGCCATACGACTGATACTACCTGCTTTGAGATCTTACAACCAGCAATGAGCTACCTTTCCTAGTTTCCACCATTGAGCATGGAGTAGCTCTTTAAAATCTTTTTTTAAACTGTATCATTCATACATTCCAACTTGAGCCAGGCTGACTGATATTAGGTAGCGTACATCATCATTATCATCAGACTTACTGACATTGGCTAGTGTACATCATCATTATATTATCAAACTGAATGACATTAGGTAGTGTACATCATCATTATTACCAGGCTGACTGACATTTGGTAATCTTCATCATCATTATTATCAGACTGACCGACATTAGGTAATCTACATCATCATTATTATACAAATGAATCTTTCAATTAGAAAAAAAAAGACTATATCTAGCACTTTAAGAACTTAAAATAAATTATAAAGTGTTAGCGGGATAATAACTGTGAAAGTAAAATGACCATTTTAGTAAATTAGTTTAGATTTTTTAATTTACAGGTGTTAACAGTTAAGGCCCTGGCCTGGTTAAATTAGCTTAAATGTATTATTGCTTTAAATTGATGAGCATCACTCAATAGTTTAATCATAGATAATTAAAATTGACATACATTATTTACCTTAACATAAACTTTTAATCTCTTTTCTTTCTTATGCCAGCTGATGTGTTACCCACAACGGATATTAAATATTAGAAAAAAAACAAAAGATTTAAGCATGTACCTGTATCTTATTTGATACATTTTATTTCAACATTTATTGGTTTTCATAGAATGGCTGAAGAAGCATTAGCAAATGCAGATAAGTTCAAGTCAGAGGGACATTCTGCTTTCGTTTTGGGATACACTGGAGAAGTAGGGAAACTTCTGGTGGATGAGTTGAACAGACTGAAAATCTTCAAGCGAATAGTTCTCATAGGTCGTCGTCAAGTATTTCTCAATGTTGGCCCAGAATTTGTAAGGATAATTTTGTATATTTTTGCGATAAATTAAACTTTACTTTTATCTATACATATAAAAATTCTTTGACTTGCTGAAATTAATTTTTTTTTGTCCCGGGTATCTATGTATTCAAATACAATTGATTTGAAATGCATTTTATATAATATTTTTATGGAAGTATTTTTTTTCTTATTACAATGTATGTAAAATGTTTGACACATGTGATTTGTGGTTGCCTTTTAATGCACTCCAGTTAAATTTCTGAATTAAGAATTTTATTTTCATTTTTTTAATCATAATTTATTAGACATTTGACATTGTTCGCTGTTACTTTCTTTCTGTTTTAGGTTCTTTGTTTTAGGTGTAGAGCTTTCATTAAATGGAATTAATGATAAATTAGAAATACTTGACATTAAGTGCTGCCTGTGGAGGGGGTTGAAATGTCTGTTTAGAAAATGAAACTAAGATGACTTTTCTATTTTTTAAGTTTAAATTTGTATCAGAAAATCTAGTTACTAGAAGCTTAGTAAGGGTGATGGGAATACGGCATATTTTCAAAACCAAAAATTTTCAGCAGTTATTGAATATTTCCCTTTTCAGGAGCAAAAAGTTGTAGACTTTGAAAATATTGATGAATATAAAGATGCCTTTAAAGATCTAGACACTGGATTTTGTTGTCTGGGTACAACGAGAGCTAAAGCTGGTATTGTGAGTATTAAACATCCTTATAATATTGAAAGATAACCTTTATAGAACACGGGCCTAGAGTTGTTAACATTTTTTTAAAATTGTCACTAAAACTATGATTGAAAATCCACCAAGAAAGCATTAAATAAATACAACTAGTACTAACAAGTTTGGGATTTCAAATCCTCTTGTTTGTTTCATTCATTAATAATAAAACTTGGCTTGGAATAATTTATTTTATTTATCGTAAATTTTCAATGTAACTCTAACTTCTGCTGTTACCACCCGTGCATGACCTTCCATAATTTATATTCTATTGTTTTACTATACATGTTTTGTAATGGAAAGTATATATTTTTTAATAATCATTGCAGCAAGGCTTTATCCGAGTTGACCATGATTATGTTCTACTGTCTGCTGAGATTGCCAAAGCACAAGGTTGCAAACATTTCACACTTGTTTCATCTCAAGGGGCTGACAAAAATAGCAGCTTTTTATACCCAAGAACAAAGGTGAGAATAGATCTATAAAAAATATCAGGTAGAGAAAATAAGAAAATAAAAAAAATTTTGTTTACAAACATTCATGTTTTTGTTAGAGACAAATCTACTTTAAATGAAAATAATGTCACAGTAATGGCTTAATCTTTGTGCTTTAATTTTTTTTTTGTCTGTGGTTTTCCCCACAATGTCTTTTCATAATTTGTGACACAATGATAATGAGATTTGTTTTGATGAATCTGCTTTATACTACCACAAATAATGGAGGAAATTTAGGATAACAAATTCTACCTAAAAATAAGGTTTTACATTTTCATGCATGTGAGAATATAATGCAACCAAATCTTTTTGGCCCACTCACATTTGGTGACCGAGCTCTTATCCTATCTGGACATAACACAAGAAATAAAGCGCCCCTTTGAAGGAATATTAGTATAGTTTTATTGGTTTGACCACAGTTCATTTTAAATATTAAAATAATTTAAAGGATTTTATTAACAATTCATATTTATTATGTTTATTTGTATTGTTATATTATGGACAGATTAACAGATTGCATTATAAGAGCTTTTTAAAAAGAAGAGTAAGGGGTTCGCATTATACATGGATTGCATTATGTGCAGTAATATATCATAACCTTATAAATATTCAACAATCCTGGAAGACTTTCATCAAATCAAAAATAGTTTCTACATATCCCCAGCAATACTTGAGTAAAACGCATTTTAAGATTATACCTTACTGCGATGTTTAATCAAAACCATTAGTAAAATGTAACAAATATCAAAACTACCACATTTTTAAAATTTTCCAAAGAAATTTCCTTTGTAATTAAAAATTATGAACATATTGTCACATCTATAGACATAAATCTAAAAGGAGTTTAAAGAAAAAAAATTTCCATCTTATCAGGGTCAAGTTGAAGAAGCACTGAAAGTGATGCACTTTAACAGACTGTCCATTTTCAGGCCTGGGTAAATGAAGGATTTCACTCTAACTTTGTTGGATATATATTTTTAATGATTGGTGATTTCCCAATCAATTCTTTGTTTATCAGACATCCCCGTATTCAGCTCATTAAAATATATGAAGTCTTTGAATTTTTACTTTGTTTTATTCTGTGAACCATTATTAAACTTCAGTCTCAAGATCTATGATTTAATTTCCTAAATTTTAAAATTAAATTATTGATCTGTTGATGATTGAAGAGAAATCAATTCTTCTACCTTCTTAGTGTCCTCATGTGTGATCGTCAGGAGAGTAGACCCATGGAGGCAGCCTTCCGTGCAGTCCTGAAACCTGTGTCTTATTTTTTCCCAACTGCAATCACAACACCGGTCCAGATTGTAGCCAGGGCAATGATCAACAATGCAATCGCTTCCACAAACAGTTCCACTCTAGAGCTCCATGACAACAAAGCCATACATCAACTTTCTGGTATTTCAAAAGGATGCAACAATTTGAGAAGAAGCCTATCTGCTCCTGAAAGCACCAAAACTAAATAAATGTTCTGTAATGTCAAGTATCCATTATTAGTATAAGCAAACTAGCTAATCGTTGTTAAGATGGCTCAATCTAAATGATTTTTCATTTTCCTTTATGACGTCAGCTTATAATATAATGATATATTTACCAATCATTACAATTGGCTATCTCATTTAAAATAATTTTGTTTACCCAAGATTGTAAAAAGTCACTCAAATTTTCTTGTCATGGTTAAATTTAAAAAATAATAATTATGTTACACTTGAGAAGTATGAGAAGGAGAAATAAGCATTTGACAAGAAACAGTGCTATACCAATAATACCATGAGTCTAAAAAAAGTAATTGAAGAATTATTCAGATGAGCTTCGGTGGAGTTTAATTAAAGAATTATTTTGACAGGGGTTTCTTTTATTGACAAATACATTTCCTTGTACATTATTAATAAAATACTTTCTCACTATGATAAATTTTGTATTACAATTCCAAAATTTATTTGATGCTTATAAAATTTTATTTTCGTATTCCAAGAAACATAATGGGTCGTTCGCAAATCAAATTATGTCTCGCTTTGGGGGGGGGGGGGGGAAAAAGTTTTAAAATTTTATTTTTTAAATTTTTTTTTTTTTAAATTTTTTATTTTTTAAAAATTTTTTTAAATTTTCTAATTTTGAAAAATCTTTATTCAATTATTTTTTAAAAACATTAATTTGAGGTCGCAATTGCCTCAGATATTATACAAACCATGAAACTCTGTCAACTGTTGTAGCCATTTTACATTCCGCTTGTGGATGACTTCGTTGTTTAGAGTCACAGTTTTCTAATAATGCTACATCTTAATCCATTATGGGAAAATTTAAAGAATAAATTAAAATCTTAGTTTCGTTATGAAATTTTTATGCATGTTTTGATCTTTTTAGGTGTCACGTGACACAAAGAAAAGAATTTGTGACAGGGGGAGGTCTAAAAAGGTAATTTTTTGCGTGATGTATTTTGCGAATGACCCTTAAGCACTTGTGTTATTTAGGAAAAAGATTTGGCCAGTGAAACTTTTTGTTTGCCTTTGCACACATATGTGTGAAGCCTGATAATTTAATTTTTAAATAGTAAAATATGGATTAAAGTTTCTTAATTATTCTTTAACATTTAATGCTAAAGCAAACATTATTTTCCATTTTTGTGACTGTTAGCTAAACTGTTTGCCATTTGTGTGACAGTTAGCTTAACTATTTTTCATTTGTGTGACAGTTGGCTAAACTATTTGTTTTGTGCCTTGGCCAGTGACATGTAAGAGTTGAATTTTATTTAATAAATCAACAGATGAAGCATTTCGTAGTTTGTATCTGATATTGGTTTCAAAATGGCAATTAGCAAATTGAATGTTTATTTTAACTTTAATGTCATCTTGTCATTCATGTTTTTGTTGTTGTAAGTTAATTATTTTAAATGAATTATGTTAAAAATGGATTTCATGATTATAAATTTTTAAATAATCTTTTAATGTTGATTTAGAATTCTAAAAACCATTTAGCATTTTTAAAATCAGTTTGACTTATCTATGTAATAGGCGTACATGAACATTTAATTGCATGGTGTCTTCAAATTATGATCCCGTGTAAACACTGTTATTTTATTTCATATTTTCAACTTATTCTTAAAATATATCTTGGACAAGTCAGTGGATAAATTGAAGTGGATTTGTTTTCATGTAACCACCTTGAACACTGCTGATCATAAATAAATGTTTCTAGTTCACTTTTTAAGTTATTTTATCAATTATTAATAAGATTTTGTGCAGTGCACAAGGATTTTTTCCTCTTTTTCAGACATTGCTAAGTGGGCCAGTTATTCTTTGCATTAAATTATCGCTTTATTTGCTGTCTGTAGTGTGAAAATGTTTTTAGTTATAAAGTTGGTCTTAAAACAATTTTGGTAAAGTTGTAGTTGTAGAGCAAAAAACTTAAAAGATTGTAAAGAACTTATCCATTATTTCTTAGCCAGCTTGTTTTTAAAATTCAATGTAAAGCTAAAACTCAAAACTCAATTCATTTTAGTTCTATATCATCAAAGTGACCTGAACTTTTTTAGATTAATATCGTTAAAAGAATTTGTGGGATTTAGAGGTAAAAGTGAAGCAGTTAATTTTGAATATTTTCTTAAAATAACCTAAGCTCTTTTTGTTATCAAATTATTTGTACAAAGATTTTATTGTTAAGTATAATAAGTTGTTATGGATTTTTATCACTATATGTGTATTCATTTATAATATCTTTACATGTACAACTTGAATCGAGTGTTATGAAAAATGATGATTGAATTCTACCAGAATTTTTAAAAACACAGTTGTTACGTACTTAAACAAATGATATGAAATTCTAGGGTCTTGCTTTTGTTGTTCACATTTTGTTTTTAATTATTTTTGTTGATGACTGTTAATTATTAAATGTATTTGGATAAAACTACAGTGTGATTTGATTTGATTTTTATTTCATAGTGCTAGTCTATAGGTAATTGTTTATCATAGCCATCCAAAAATTTCGCTAGATCTGTATGTCTCTGGTGCAGGGTTTCACCTTTTGTTATGACTATAGGAACACTACCCTTCACTGGAACATGGAAATCTGATATTTAGGTATTTGGAAATCCACTTAGATGCCCCCCATAGTTGTGTTGCCTCCAGAAAACCTACCAGTTAAGAAAGGCTTCTGTAGTGAATTATTTTATGTGAAATGACAGTTAACTCTTTATGCCACACATCAACATTACTGCCAGACCTTTGTAAAGCTCATGTTGATAGATGTTCTATACCTTACACCTATTTGGACCGTTTTATGATAAAATAAAATAATTTAAAGGTCCTCGGGATTAGTCTAAGCTGACCTCAACTGACTTTTATTTTGCTGCCAAACAGCTAAGTATGTAAATTGTATTGCTGAGAAGCTACTTTACATTAACCTTGCAGAATTATTAAGTAAAATTAATCAATTAGTAAATATATTGAAATAAGATAATGAAACAAAAAAGAGATCATAACTAGTTTTAATGCTTCCTTTTCCACTTGCTGTGCAATTTTTCTGAATGTATTCTTCCTCTAGCCAAGTTGGGAAAAATTCTACTTTTCCTAAACATTTTTAGTTGTGATATTGTTTGAGATTTTCCAATTTTTTTCTTAAAATAGACAAATCAGGCAAAACTAAATTTATAACTTTAATAAAAAATATTGGATGCACTAAAATTACCTTTTCCTAATACATGGCAGAAATTATGTTGGGTAAGTGACAGCTGGTTTTTTCAATTTTTAAATTCAAATCTCTAAAGTTTAACGGCTTAATTTTTTCTGGCTTATCTGAACAGTAAGTTTATTTAAATTTAAGAATTTCAAATTGCTTTTGTTCAGATGATGTTTAAATTTGTGTATTATGTGGAAGAAGTGAGTTTATTTGCTCTGCATTTATAGTTTGAGAATTTCATCACATGGTATGGATCATATTAATCTGTCAAGAGAAAGATTAATTTTCATATTTAAATTAGAAGATACAGGATATTTATTCATGCACTTGTGCGAAACTTTTTAAAACTTATCAATTTCATTGTGAGTGAAAAATTGTTACGTGCCAATTATGATTTAAAACAAATATATTGTATAAATATTTTAAAATTTTGTTATTTAAAACATATAATCTTGATTATATCTTTAAAAATTAATAACAGTACAACATATTTAAATTTTTCTCATTTTACATTTGAATGTAGTGATTAAAATTTTAAAATTAAAACAAAAAATGTTTGCTTCATTTATATACATTGTACTAATCAAATTTGAAACAAAATATGAAGATTATGAAGTAAACAGCTTTTGACTTTGATTATAGAATCAGTATAACAATTCTGTCCTGAAATGTATAGTGTGTATATAGTATAGTAGCATTCAAGTTTTTTCCTCTATGATGAGTTCAGTAAGGCTATGCCTTGTATGGCTAGTCATGGAGACTCCACTATTAGCTTTTCCTCTGATGATTGCAGTAAGGCTATGACTTTTATGGCTAGTCATTGACACTGCACTGAGTGGATCACTCTCCAGGATCAGATTCATAATCACCCATGAAGTTGGAATGCAAATAAGGGGCTATCCATATAGTACGTAGGCAAAAAATTCAAATTCCCCCCATTACTTTTTACTTTTTTACACCCCGCTCCATTTGTATCTACAATGACCTTTCGACCCCCAGCCCTCAAGGAAAAAAAAAATCCAAACAAAATCAATTTATTGGACAAATTTATGACGTCACCGTAAAATAAATATTTCACTGGTTTTCACTGCTGACTGTTTGGCGAGCACAATCCATCCATCCCTGTGGCGCTACAGCCCATGTAAGGCTTTGGCCTGCCTCACTACTTCCTTCCACTCAGACCTAACTAATGCCTTTCTTTTCCATGCTTGGACTTTCAGCTGCTGTAGATCTTTTTCTACATCATCTATCCACCTAAGCCTAGGTCTGCCTTTGAGCCATTTTCCTCTGGGATATTGGTGATGTACCCTCTTCATTCCTCTGTCATTTGGCATTCTCTCTAGGTGTCCTGCCCAGCGTAGCCTGCCTCTTTTTATTTCTGCCACTATCGTAGGATCCTGATATAGACTGTATAATTCCTGGTTTGTTCGTATTCTCCATCCATATTCATCGTTTGTTGGCCCATATATTTTCCTGAGAACTTTCCTCTCCCATGTGTTTAATAGGTTTTCTGCTGTTTTTGTTAGGGTCCAAGTTTCACTTGCATATGTTACAACTGGTCTGATCACAGTTTTATAAATAGTTTTCTTTGTTTCTGTTGTAATGTTTTTACTTTTGAGTATTTTCTGACTACTGAAGTATGCCCTGTTTCCGGCTGATATTCTTTCTTTTATTTCTGTTAGTAATTCGTTTCTTTCATTTAACAAGGATCCTAGGTATTTGAATTGATTTACTTTTTCAAAAGTTTGGTTTCTAATTTTAATTGTTTCATCTGTTTGTTCCTCTCTTATCATGGTCATGTATTTTGTTTTTTGGTTGTTAACTTCCAGCCCTGCTTGTAAAGATGCGTCTTCTAATTCAATAAAGGATTTTGATATGTCTTTTATACTTTTCCCTAGAAGTGCTATGTCATCAGCATATGCAAGATACTGAAGTGGTTGGTTGTAGAGTGTGCCCGTTGGTTGTGGGTCTTGAGTTTCCCTCAGAAAGTATCCTGCTATCGTTCCTCGAGTGTCAATGTGTAAGTTCCTAATAACTCTCTCCAATGTTAGGTTAAAGAGCATACAAGACAGTGAATCTCCCTGTCTTAGGCCTCGTCTAATATGAAATACCCTTGAATATTCTCCTTGAATCTTGATTTTGCTTTTTGAGTTGTTAAGTGTTACATGTATTAGCCTTGTCAGTTTGTTGGTATCCCAAACTCCTGCAGAGTCTCATATAAATAGTTTCTTTTGATGCTGTCATAGGCCATTTTATAGTCGACATATTGATGTACTGGTATATTAAATTCATAGCATTTCTCTAATAGGCATCTGATGGTGAAAATCTGATCAGTCGTTGATCTGTTAGGCCTGAATCCGCATTGGTAATCACCTAGTATTTCTTCAGTGTAAGGTTGTAGTCTTTTGGCAATAAGTTTCGTCAGTATTTTGTATGTAACATTTAATAGGGAGATTCCTCTGTAGTTTGTGCACTGAAGTTTGGAGCCTTTCTTGTGTATTGGGGTTATTAATGCTGTTTCCCATTCTGTCGGGATTTTCTCCTCTTGCCAAATTTTAGTTATAAGTTTATGTATCTGATTGTGTAGTTCTTTTCCTCCATATTTAATCAGTTCTGCTGTGATAAGGTCTTGTCCTGGGGCTTTGTGATTTTTCATGTAATTAATTACCTCTTTGGTTTCTTCTAGGGTTGGGCATTGTATAAACGGGTCTGGTCCTCCCTGTGGGAGTTGATAATCTTCTTCTTGTCTATTTTCTGCATTCAGTTTGTCCTCAAAATATTCAACCCACCTCTCTAATACTTTACTATTTTCCGTGATTAATTCTCCATTGTGGCTCTCACACATTTGCGGTCTGGCTTGGTATCCATTCTTTTCATCTTTTATCTTCTTGTACATTCCTCTTATATTTCCCTCTCTTGATAAATCTTCTAATTCCTTTAGTTTATCCTTTTCCCATTCCCTCTTTTTCTTCCTACACATTTTTGTTGCTTTCCTTCTGGCTTCCTTGTATGCTTGTGTTGTCTTTCTGGTTTCCCTTTGTAACATGATCATTCGTGCTTTGTTTCTTTCTTCCACAGTCTCTCTGCATTCATTGTTGTACCAGCCTACTCTATTGTTGGCTTGCTGAAATCCCACTACTTTTTCTGCTGATCTTTTAATGGCATTTTTTATCCTATCCCACTGATCATTTATGTTGTTTTCCCCGTTTATTTCCTCAAGCGATGCTTCTAATTGTGCTTCTACTTCATTCTGGTAAGCTTTTGCAGTTAATGGGTCTTTGGGCAGCTTTTGGTAATCGTATCGTTTCTCTCTTTGATTACGACCATTGTGAACTAAGCTTATCCTCTGCCTATATTTCACCCTTACAAGTGATGGTCCGAGTCCGCATCTGCTCCTCTAAGGCTTCTAACATCTAATATATCTTCGCAAACGCAATGGTTCACAGAATATTCGCCGCGTAACCCTCAGGCAGGGCTATACTATGAGATTGGGGCAAGAGCCCCCTGCAGTGCCCCCTGCAACAACTTCAGGGGAAATGGGGATCGTCTTTAGATAGGACCTGAAAAGTTAATTAAGCTATAAAATCTCATGTACTTGCCAAAGACAAGGGGCGCCAAAAATCATCTTTTTAATGGCGGCCCTTTTTTTAATAAATATTAAGGGGCGTCATTTTCAGGATTTTTCCCGGGTGCCGTGCTTGCTCAGCACAGCACTGCTCTGGGTTGCTGGGGCTTCCTTGTGGGCCACCGCGACATTGAACACAATTTTCATAATTTTATTTCCACTTTTTACTTTTTAATTCAAAATGACATTTAGCGGCCGTGGTGAAAACAATAATTCACTTTAGTAATCATTACTGTTTGCAGTTACTAGATTACGATTAGTGACTTACATGTGTGTTTTATTAATTTTTATCAATCCTTTATAAATTTAAAAGTAACATATTTTGAAGTGCACTTGTTAGAATTTAACACATGATGTGGCGCATGTTGAAAACCTAAATTTATCAAGGGCGCCGGGAATCTAAAAGTTTTAGGATCTACTGGCTTAGCCAAACAAAATATGTCACATGCACCTGGAACAAAGGGTGGAATAAATATTACTGTTACTACTACATTTGAGTACTACTAGAAAGATATCTGGAGAATTTACTTGATAAAAGACAAGGTGACATTATGACAAGAATGCCTATATTGTGTGATTGATAGTGATATTTTTACAACATTAAAGATAGGAATATGCTTTTTATGAACTGTCAGAATTTTAGGATAATTATTGAAGAATTTGTGAAAAAATGTATGTCCTTTCTGCCGAGACCCCCACCCTTGTGACATATTCATGCAAAAGTTACAAAATCAACAACCCCTTTTTTTCCCCCTCAGTGCGTATAAACTATTTGGATGGATCCTACAAAAGCTACACGACAGTCTCTCATTGATCCCATCTATGGCCTCTCCCCCACCCCATTCAGGACAACAGTTATGACAACTCTGTACGGAGATGACAACACAATGGAATATTGTTATTGAACTTTAAATTAAAATATTACAAAAAGGTCATCAAAAAGGTTTTCACTTTAATTAGTTCATTAATTGGATCCATTAACACCGCAGCTATGTTAAACACGTGGACCCATCGGGTATTTTTTCAAAATACCCGGAACTGGTGTAAAAAAAACTGCACCCGGTTAAACCCTAGCCTATAATATTTAAAGTTATGACCATTAAATAAACCATGTGACATGTGTATTAATCTCTCATTTCTGTATCCAGTGAATGTGAAGAAAAATATGACGGGGGTTCCTCTTAAAAGTACATTCCCTACTTTTGTACAGTATATTTAATACGCCTTACTAAATAAACATTTCTTGTACTCTTTGACTGATGTCTATTGATCTCTTCTTTTTTTTTCAAGCCAATAATGATCCAATAAATATTTTTTCTTCAAATTTGATGAAATATTAATGTTAAAAGGGCTTTCTGATACTAACTACCACCGTCCCCTTAGGGGGTCCCAGCGCCCCTATTTCTACTAAGCGTTTACCCCCCCCCCAATGCCATCGTCACTTTGATAACCACTTCTGCAACGGATAGTGAGGGTAGTGGGGAAATCGCTTATTTTCTGATAATTGGTTTACTCGGATTTTTATTATAAAAAAAACAAAAAACACAAAAACTGGCTACAAATTATCTAAAAAAAATGTAACAATTAAATCATGGAAATTTTTTAAGCTGATGTTTAATTTGGATAACAATTTGGATTATCTAATCGCACCAGCTCAGTAAATATTAAAGATAAACTCAGTTACTTATTTAGAAAGCTCACGTTGATCTCGGTAAAATTTTAGAACTTGGTGAGAATGTTAACCCCCCAGAATACTTACCTAGCGGATCTGGAAATCTTTTGTATGTTTATAGTGATTTCCACGTCGCCGAAGAAAACATATTCTTCGAATCCATCTAATTAAAACATTTTAATAAAATATACTATTGGTTACATTTGGTGTAATACAATGGGTAAGTGTTAAGACGCGTAAATGTTTTTATATCTATATTTTATAAGCATTCAGGGATCTTATTCTCGACATGTGTTAAGCATCTTTATATTTTTACTTTAATTTTTAACTTAGACTTAGAGACTTATGACTTAGTTGTAAATTTGCTCTAGTTCCGTTTTGTTGACTGAGTGATATGTCATTGTACAAAGTCTGACATTAATAAATACAGATAATCTCTCATTTTAGCGAAAATAAATATCATAATTAAATTTTTATAAAAAAATAAACTGATTTAATTAATTGAAAGTGCCGGTAATTTTTACGTAAAATACCGTCTTGTTACGGAATTCACCAACAAAAAAACAATGAGCAGTAATTTCATTAAACAAATTGGCTAAAACCGAGGACGGCTGCCACAGCGTCTTTTGTGTCTTTATTATAGTTGCAGTGAATTAGGGTTTAGGTTAGGTTTAGGGATCGATTTAGGGTTCAGGTTAGGCATAGGGATCGAGTTAGGGTTCAGGTTAGGCATATAGTAAGGGATCGATTTAGGGTTCAGGTTAGGTATAGGGATCGATTTAGGGATACATTCGTGAAATTCGATTAAAAAGTTGCAGGCGTCCCCATTTTTAACCAACAAATTGTATGAGATAAAAAAAAGACATTTCTAGAAATATTTTGTCAATCAAATGTGCAATTGTGGTAAATCAAAGAGAACTCTTCTGTCTCCAAAGATAGTTTTGTTTTTTGCCCATTTGCCAAATGATTTGGATGTATTTAGATTCTAGATTATTGTAATTTTTATTTCTTTATTTAATTATTTCTAGGTGTCCGATATTTCTTGCTAAACCAGTCAGTGGTGCGTTTAGACAATTTTTAAATATTTAAAAATATCTCATTAAACATCATGTTTTTATCTAGGCATCTTGAAAACTGGGGCCATCCATTCATGCAAGGCAGTGTGAAAGTGGTGCTAGCCGGGGCTGTTAATATCAGGGGGTGCATTATCTATGTTATAGAGGTTGTACAGCAAAACCTCTGTTACGCACTGGCTTCTAATATGAGAAATTAATCTCCTATTTTAATTTTAATTGGCTCGTTGTAAGCAGTGCCTAACAAAGGAGGATACCATAGAGTCAACAATATTAAAGATACTACACCCAAAACAGTTTCTAGTTACAATTAATAAGATTTAATAAGTATTAATGTAATTACAAAAGAAAAGAAATATCATTACAAATCATCGACTTACAGTATGATAGATCTTGTACCGGTACACATTTAACACAGTTAGAACAATGTGCCAATGAATGCGAAATAAACACATATGAGTATGAGCACACAAATACAAAAAGAATAATACATGTCTCGTAAAGTTAATAATTTCTATCTGAATCTCCGTCTCTCCGTCCGTGCCTGTCAATCCCTTATATAGGTCGTGTAAGCCCTGCCTTCCAGAAAGACTTATGACGTTTCTAGAACTATCACATTCATTCTACAAAATACTATTTGGAACAGATTAATTATTTTTAGTGGCTGTCGGCATCAACACGACATATCAAAAGACTAAGCCACACCCATCTGTGAACACAGCGTCTCATGCGGGGTCAATCAGAGTGCACGCACGAGAAAAATTATGTAAACAAGCTCTATATAACACCTCAGTTTTATGACTTTTAAGTTACCATTAAATGAGGTTGTAAATCGGAGGGGTCATAAAAAAAAAAGTAGGACACTTTCGAAAAACTACATAATTATTAACTAGTAAAAAAATGCACATACCATTAAGTACAGGCAATATCTAACATCTTTCGTTCAGAAATAAAGATTAAACTCTGTCTCACAACCAATATAGTCACTATCTTCCTGTTCCTCGTTAATTCCAAAATAAAAATCAATTCTGGTATGGCAGTTGTTTAAAAGCGTAAGTGCTGAGTGCATGCTTACAGTTATAACTATGTATAAAATAAGCTCATTAATATTGTTGTAATTATTTTTATTAAATCATTGAAAAGTTATTTTTTGAATGAAAGCTGTTAATTCTGTTTGTTTGCATGATCCCCCCACCCATGCATGTTCTTTTAGTATGTCATTTTGAATACCAGATATGGTGTCGGCGAGGTGTGAAAGGCCTCTGCTCAGGGAAAATCTGGTCAGCTCCTAGGAGTTATTTCCCCTTCACTACTTCCTAGCTGCTTTAATGCATCATCTGCTGTTAAAAGTTGTAAACGAAACTGTTTTCATCAATCACACAAATATAGCATTGCTTTGGAATCTGACTTTTTCAAGTGCTAGGTCGTAAAATTGAATTATTTGAAGGTCGCAAGTCGCGTTTTAGAGGGTGTCATTTAAGAGAGGTTGTTTATATAGTAAAAAGCATCAGTAAATTTTTTTCAGCCGTATGGCAAGAGGAAAGTCAACACATTATTAATAAAGCAAAACGAATCCATCCAATTGTATAAAATCACTAACACTCAGCACAAATCAGAATCAACTTAGGTGTCATCTAAATAACAAAGTCTTTCCTATCGAATTAGAGCTGACCAACCACACCACTTAAACAACTTAATTGTTTACTATATTAAAAACAAAATTTTATAAATTTATTTCCACTTTTAATCCAATGTGACATATAGCGGCCATGGTGCAAACAGTTATTCACTTGAGTAACTAGTGTTTGCATTTACTAGATGGCGCTTAGTAACCTACATACATATTATATTTATTTTTACTCAAAATTTTATTTTGTTTATGCATTCGCTATTTTAAAGTGTTCTTGTAAGTATTTAACACAGGGAGCCTGTTGAAGACCTGAATTTGACATAGGTGGCGGAAGACAAACGTTTTAGAACTACTGGCGCTTCCCCATAAATGTTACATACAGGGTGGACTAATTATTACTGTAATACCTCTACTACTTAGTACTATCTGAGTATATCTAGCGAGTTCATTTCTGAAAATACACTGCAACATTATGATGATAATACCTACAAAACATGGCGTGATAAATTTACAGCATTCAAAATATAAATATATGCTATTTTTTGGACTTTCAGAGTTACAAGATGAATATTGTTGACTTTTTGAATAACATACATACTTTCTGCCAAGACCCCTATTAAAGATAGAAAGATGAAATTGATGTTTTTTGGAAAGCTTATAGCTAGCCCTTTAATATTATTATATCTTTAGTGGCAATCAGACAATATTAATAACATTTTGTCAAAGTATTTTAATCAATCCAAACCTCGCCCATATCAATTTAACATTAGAATGAATAAGCAAAATCAGAGATGATATGAAGAGAAATAAGTTAAAATAGCTTCTTTAATTTGTTGTGATTATGTTGTTTAAGTGATTTACTTCAAACATAAACTTAGTTTAAAATAATGAGATTTACTAAAAATTCCAGGTGGATTACTTAGCTATTTTTCTGCCCTGTTTGGCAGCAAAGAAAGGCGAATTCTTATTCTTGGATTGGATGGAGCTGGAAAAACAACAATATTATATAGACTTCAGGTTGGGGAAGTTGTCACAACCATACCAAGTAAGAACAATTTATCACAAATATCACCAATATGTAGAGCTATATTTAACAAATAACCATCAATATTTAAAAATATGTTCCATTATAATTATGCTTGCAATTTGAATTATTAGATTTGTACTTGTGAATGAATTCTTTTTTTGTGTGGACTAAAACAAAATTTAATATACATTCCTTCTAATCTGGTTTTCATTTATTAGCTCAGTTTTGTATTTATAACTTTATTTGAGTGTTAAACATACTCTTTTGGGTATAGACACAAGATAAGAAGCATCATGGAACGATTTGTTGTTGTTTCTCTCATAGTGTAGTTCTCTATTTAACAAGTTTCGACATTTGTGTTTATTGTAACTTTCTGAAAATAAAATGTTTTATTTAAAAATCTTTTTCCTAGCTATTGGGTTTAATGTTGAAACTGTTACATACAAAAATCTGAAGTTTCAAGTTTGGGATTTGGGTGGACAAACAAGCATCAGGTAAATTTTACATGTAGGGAATGCTCATTTGTTTAGTAATGAAAATTTTTATTTTTTTAAAAAAGGAATTCAAAAATTTTTAATTATCATAGTACAAATAAAAAATTGCCAAGGTGTGCTTAAAATTTTGTTTCAGAAGTCAATTTTTTAATCATAGAATTGGATGGCCAATGTCTGAAATTAATTTAGTCAAATTATTTTATTCCTATGTGTGTAATTAATTTGTCAGACTTTGTATATTTTTTAATCATATCTTAAATTTTTCTGCAGACCATACTGGAGATGTTATTATTCGAATACAGATGCTATTATCTATGTAGTAGATAGTATGGACAGAGACCGTATCGGAATCAGCAAGCAAGAATTAGTTTCAATGTTAGAGGTCTGGACTACTTTATTAAAACTAATTACATTTTTAAGATGAAAATATTTTCTGGACTCAGCAAAAAATATGTACAAAAACTATGAATAGAAATTTTCCTCATTTTCAGCAATGATAAAACATTTTGTAAAGTAAGATACATTTAAAAGCCTTTATATATCTAAATTATTTTCTTTTATTAGGAAGATGAACTGAAAAAGGCAGTGCTAGTTGTTTTTGCCAACAAGCAAGATATAGAAGGTGCCATGACCGTCACAGAAGTTGCCAACTCATTGGGTCTACCAGCACTGAAGAATAGAAAATATCAGATTTTTAAGACATCTGCAATCAAAGGGGAAGGCTTGGATGAAGCAATGGAATGGTTCGTAATATAAATTAAATATATCTTTTAAATTTTAACTTGATTTTTTAAAATCATGGTTTCGTACTTTAAATGAAATTTCATATATTTTAAAAAATAGTATTAGGAACAAACGTTTAGGATTAAGACCCAACCCTCTGAACAAATATAAACCAATTAGTTCCAACAGAAATCGTGTAAGGATTCCTTAACATATTTGATAATGTTTTGACATTGTCTATATTCTACCAGGCTTACCAATACTTTAGTCCAAGCCAAGTAGGTGCAATACTGGCAAGCAGCTGTAAAAAGATGGGGGCGAACAAGAAGTGTAAAGAATTAATAAATGTTATACTAGTTTACGGATAGATAAAAAATCTTGTTTATGTCTGATCCATAGAAAGTTATCTTAAAAAGAAAACACATTAAATTCCCAATCTTGTAGTCTCATTTTTCATTTTAAAAAACAAATTCCATCATTAAAAAAGATCACAAAATTTAAATAAAAAGTTATTAGAATATTTCTTTAATTTCATTTTCAATCATATTTTTAAATATGTTTATTCTGAGATGGAGCAGATCTAGTTCATTTTTTTATCTATTCTCAAGGATTATTTTGAATGCAAAAGAATGTGAGTTCCTGTGATAACAGCCGATTCAAGTAATTGTGTATCTGTATGCCATCAGATAATTCAGCTTCAACATATAGTATAATATAAACTTTTTTTCAGAAAGTTACCCCAAGGAATCAAATTTGATAGTTTTATTTTAGATACAAAGCTTATCATTTTTAAAAAGTATTGTTTATAATCTCAAAAGTGTAATTGAATGAAAAGTCCTTATAGTTACAGATAATACAAGAAAAGTACTTATAGTTACTGATAATACACATGTAGTGTATTAGTGTGTTAGATGTTAAAATTGTAAAATGTATTTTAACAAGACGTTTTTTCTGCAGAGGAATATTTATATTTCAAAAGAGTCAGTCAAATCTTTTTAATCAACAACAAAAAAAAATTCTTTATTTGTGATTATAAAATTAAAAAAAACAAAAAAACAACAGCATCATAAATTGTTAAATAATTTATATTTGATATGAAATTTTAAGAATGATTGAAAAAAGACAAGAAAATTGGTTTGAGTTGAGATAGACACAATTTTATGCCAGTTAAAAAATAGTGTTTCCTTATACAGCTATGTTACTCAGGTAATGGTCACAACCATGGGATGTTGTTGAACACCGATCATACCTTCAAATTTGTTATCCTTGTGGTAGTCAGCTTCAAATCATTTTGATGTCAAGGGTTGAAGGTCAGTGAAAAAACTTTGTGACAAAAATGAAAATGCTGAGTTCGATTACTGTTATTGAAAGTTTTTGTCAATTGTTTGGTGTCCCGCCTTGTTTTGTATCTTTAAATAGAATTTTAATTTCTAAGCATCTCGGCATTGATAGTCTTACTTGGAATAGGAGTTATGGTAAATTGTTTGCAAAAAGTGATGGATGTAGTATTTTTTTAGCGTGTATATGTTGGTATTTGTGTCCCAGACAGTACTAAAAATATGGACCAGAACACAACTTTTGACTGGATTTCATTTTCACTATCATGTAGTTTATGAAAATGTGCTATTGATTCAATAAGCTTTTTGTATCTGATTTTTGTGTGATGTCAGTACCAGCATACCTCGTTACTACAGAAAAGCAACACATTTTTAAATTGCAATTGCAGTATATTGCTTTAAAGCCTTAGTAAGCATCTGACTCTTTTTTCATATGTGTTCAGTTAATCCACAGCTAAAATAACAATAAAATATGTCCAACCAGGCAAATTATATAATCCGACATAGTTTCCAAATGTAATATGCTTTAGAAGTGCAGTAGAGTGAGGTATGTCTGTTTTATAATTTATTATTTAATTTGCTTACTTCAATGTTGTAATTAGCTTCACAATTTATAAGAAAAGTGATATATGACTGTAGATTCAGCATCATATGTATCCTATTCTTTTTCAGACAACAATTTTTTAACCATCAATGTCATTAGTAAATTAGAAATGTTAACATAATATTATTTGATACCGTCTTTGGGGGAAATAACTGTTATACAGATACAAGAACCTATTCATTTCTTTCTCATGTATCGTCCGTTTCATGATATAAATATGATTATTGTGTTACTTGTTTATAAAGTGGGAATAACCTTATATATTGATGTGGGAATATATCATCGTGGTCTGCCTACTTGTATTGACACATTATTCATTGGATTCTTTATTATTCTTCATTTTATTTGTGACCACTTGTAAATATGGCCATTAAATTTTCATATTTTTTTCAATCATGTCTAATGAAATAAATAACGTTGGCAATAAAAAAGTTAAAAAAACAAACTTTTAAGTAAATATCTTTTTGTTTTATGATTATTAGTAGGACAAGTTCTGTGTCTGTCTTCTTGTGTGATGATTAATAGAACATGTTTCATTTTTATCTTATTCTTATGTGATGACTATTAGGACAAGTTCTATTTTTATCATGTGTGATGATTGTTAGGACAAGTTCCATGTCTGTCTTCTTGTGTGATGATTATTAGGACAAGTTCCATTTTTATTAATTTATTCTTATTCTTATACTACGGCAGGTTCTATTTTTATCTTGTGTGATGATTATTAGGACAATTTCCATGCCTGTCTTCTTGTGTGTAAGCAACTGTTTTTTTCTGGCCTGTTCACTGTTGAAAATTCAACAAGTTGTTTGCAATCAAAAGTGAAAAATTAATAAATCCATCACCATCACATCATCAGCAAATAACACAGAATGCTAAGGAACAAGTTTATTGTTTTTTTCCCCCCGAAATGTGGTAGATTTTTATTTAACGATTAGGATAGGTGCTAAAAAGAAATAGGACAAACGTTATACTGGACGCAGTCAATTCCATTTGATAAACATACACAACCCCAACACTTTCTCTGAAATAGGGGTTTTAATAATAAGCTATAATATTTCAATACATTTGTCAAATATCTTAGTCTGGATATTGAATTTTAAAAAAAAAATAATTGCTTTATCAATTTTTTATTTCTTAGTAAGTGTAAATAGTAATGGCAACACAAAAAAAAAAAAAGTGCTTTGAAAATGACTTTTAAAGGAGACAAGTTTTTAAGATATAAACATTTATAATGGTACATACTAAACTGGCACACACAGAAACAAGAAACATGCATTTTTACAAGGTCACATAGACCAGGACGTTGATCACATGTTTAACTGCCACAATTTCTAAAGTTAGATCTTCTTGATTTACACTGCATTTTATCATTAGATGGGCTAGATGTTGTATGGGCATTGTCATTGAGATGTTAAAGAAGCACTCATTTCTCAGGTGTGCTCTTGATGTAATTTAGCACACCTTTATCAAACTATTTAAGTTGTTATCAATGACCTAACTTGAGAATCTTGTGGCCTGTAAAGCATGAGTCATAGTCCAAGTGTTAGGGCTAAAAACAAACTTTTTTAAAATTAAAAAAGTCATTGGAAATAAAATTGGAGTTATCGTGTAAAAGAATATTGGGTAGAAGAAAAAGTCAAATTGATGTCTTTCTAATATTTAAACTATATCAGAATTGCACAAAGCAAGTACACTTCTTCTTTATTACTAGTGTATACAAAAAAAAACTGGAAAGAAAAAAAGTAAATGACGAATTGCACACTTTAAAATGATTTATTACACTCTCACACCAGCACAAAAAAGTAGCCATGATGAATTAAGGTCATCACTGAATGTACAAATGACAATAATAGTACTAGAAACAATATTCAAGAGACTGCACATTCCCAAAGCCCTGGGTATAAGTACATGTTTCAACAGAGGCCAAAGGAGAATGAAGAGGATTTAGAGAAGAAAATAAGAATAATATCACATTTTAATAATAAATAAAGTTATTGGTCACTATCCCTCTTGCAATATAATTTAGGACTGTCTATTTGAGAGATAATGTAATATTTGTTTTGCATTACATTTGAAGGTAGATCGTTATATAACTTGTTCCTTCTTTTCTTAAAATAGTTTTAATTTTAAAATATATTGCCTGTAAAAGAAGAAAACTATTAAAATTTGCACGTTTTAATGAAGGCAACTACTGTTTGATATAAAGGACGGATAACTAGTTAATATATTATTCTAAGAAGAAAATAATAGTTTCATAGTTAATTCAAAACACCTATTGAATTAAAGCCTAAAACAAAACAATACTTTGATCATCACCAGCCTTGCACCAAGCAATTAACGTCTTTTAAATTGTTCTAGTTGTACCTCTCTACCACAGTTATACCAGCATATCCTGATAGAAATCAGTGACTTACCAGATTTTTTTCACATAAAATGACAGATTAAAATTATTTTTTTACACGGCACTGAAGTCTACACTTCACTTTTGAATTTTGTGCAAACCAGTAAATTATTTTCACCTTTTAAGTCACAATTTTCTAAGCAAGATATGCTACTCTCTTTTAACATGTATTTTAAAAAAATATATAAACAGGCGTTCGAAACAGGTTGTAAAGGATTTTAGGGTGGGCTATCGCTAAGTTTTCCATTTTCTGTTGTTCAACTTTCTGCAGCCTGCGCTTCTCCTTCTTCTTCATCACCCTCGTGCTTCTCTTTAGGTTTCAAATCATCGCGCCAGTGGGGGTTAGATTTTTCTGGCTGTGGAATAGGATTAGAAATATATTTAAAATGGTTGGCATACATTCAGTCTCGGTTAGTTAACATGAAATCCTTTAACAGAATCATTTATGAGTCCTCACTATTTGTGAGTATAAAAGTCATCAACTTATTGTATTCTAATTTTTTAGTTCATTTCTTCTATGCTAATGAAGAGTTTGTTTTTACAAACAATTTTTTTAAATATTTGAAACAACAGCCAATTAAAATACAATAAAGAAAAAGCAGTAAACTTGATGAGTTCAAATATTTTAAATGTTCTGAATGATAAGCATGAAAAAAATAATAATTTAAGCAAAATATTTTCATTGCAAACTAGGAAATAAGCCTGAATCTAAAAAAATAAAACAGAGGCATAAAATAAATGTTAACATTAAAAGCAAATAATTTAAGTAGTTCAAATTTCTTTTTAACAAAATATTAAGTTAGGAATTAACTTGCAATGCAATAACAGATTATCCTTCTAATAAAAATAATATGGAATAGACATTGAGGAAAAACATGGATTGGATCACTGTAAAAATGAATAGATATGAAAAGCAGACTGTTCACAGGGTGACTGGTGAAGAAAGGTAAGAAACATTCATGCTTGAAATATGGCAAACCGATTAATTCCATTGAAATTTCAGAAATCTTATTTGCACCCATGAAGATTTTTGAATCTGATAATTCTAATTTCTCTTTCAGAGTTTAGTACAAATAGGCCTAAAACGCTTCTTATTTTCGTAATCTGTGTTATGCAAATAATGTGAGAGATTTGCTCTTTGTGTAAGTTAAAGATAATATGTAAAGATTTGGATGGTTGATGATCAATATTATCCATAAAAGTACATCAAGTATATTTTAGGTGCCGTAAGTTAAATTGTGACATGAGACCACATGACATTTGATTTGTGAGTATAAGATTAACTCTGAGATTAAACTGTTTGTGTTTTAATCATGTTTGACACTCAACACTGCTGAATGTTGACAGAAAATTAACTAGTTAAGAAGTTTAATTAAAAGTTTTACAGTTTAAAGCATGCTTTCACTTTCAGAAGGGAGCATAGATTTATTCAGATTTACAGGAAACTGCATTTACAGGTTTCATTAATTGTTGCATAAATTTTAAAATTCGATGTTCATGAAGAAAACAAAATTATTTTGAGATAGAACTGCCAACCCAAGCCACTGTTTCCAAGTTAGACTTAAAAGCATTTTGAAGGCAACAAGCACAAATAAGAAGTATTAAATGCAGATACTTTGAATTTCAGTACAATTAATCAAATGCAGCACTTTGTTATAGATAGCATTACAACGTATCTCTCAATAACAAACTAAATTGCTAATAAATTATGAGATGATTTTTTCATTCAGGAACATATGATTCTCCCACCATATTTTTATCTGTTAGTATTATCTTCAAATCTAAGTCGTGTAAAATGTAGTCAGTTGACTTTGATATAGTAAGTTGAACAATCAAAAGAGACACATTTTAATGTATTCTATAACAATTAAGGACATCTACCTTTTCAGAAACTTAAATTCAAATAATTTATGCTTTCTCATAGAGATAGATTTAGAACGGTTACGGCATGAAAAAATAACTTTAGTTGGGTATAATTTATGTTTTTTATTTAATAAGCTGACTTTTTCTCCCATCTAATTTTGTTGGCATACTGCTTCCCCCAATTGACCTCATTCATATTTTCACTGAAAGCTCAATGTTTATAGTTGGCCCACTATAAAGATAATTGAGGAAACGGATCTCTTGAGAAAATTTGAATAAACTACCTGCAACATTCTGGAATAAATATCTTGGTTCCTCAATGGTGGTGGTGAGGCTGAAAATATCAGGGTGTGAAGCATGCTGTCTCAAAAAAAAACTGTTAAACTAATGGCTATGCTCAGTAAATTATTAAAGGGCTCAGCAAACCCACAACATCATTAAAACAAGTACTACTTTGGACGTATGTGATTGAAGCCCTCATTAATTTTTACAAAATTTAAGCAAAGAAAGAAGATAAAACTATACATGATGCTATAAAATTTTTCATGTTGACTAATTCATGATTTTGAATATAAAGTTGTCCGTTTATTAAACTTTGAATATTCATTTGAAGTCTTTGATTTTTGTGTTTTCATTTCAATTTTTTGGTCAATGAATTTAATCTCCTATCAATCAATGCTTGACCAGAAGTAGTATTTTTAGTTGATTGTTAAATATATAATTTTCAACCAAGCCAACATATTTTATTTATAAATATGTATTTATTACATATGTTTATACATCCACATATATTTGATTATGAAGTTAAACTCAAATGAGAATATTAAGTGTTTAAATAACATTATTCGCTGCTACAAAGGTTATAGTGTTGGTGCCTATGCCTTTTGTATTTTGTGTGTGTTTTTTTAAAAAACATAAGCTTTGTCAACTTCATGGGAATAAAGAAATATGTCATACATTTAAGTTATTTCTTGTTAACTAACTAAGGTCCAGGATTATATAACGCCTACTGATACTTCGGTAAACCCTCTTTTCAATCATTATTGCTATTAATACTTAGTATCCATTTAGATTTCAGTAATATTATAATTTCCCTAACTAATTCTTAAAACCTTTATGAGGCTTGTTGAATTATGCAGTGCAATAAGTGCCACGTGGAGACAAGCAAACT